ATAGAAGTAATAATTCCCTCCATCGTCTTATAACTATTCCTCTTGAGTTAGAACTTGGCACCGATGGGTAAGGGTGGCTTTTCATTAGGAAATCCAATTGATTTGTACTATTATTGAGATGTGATTATTATTCAGATCGAGGCTATTTGTTGCTAGCACATGGAACTCTTGAGATTCTTCATTATCTCCAGAGGATATTCGGATACGTTAAGAAACTCGATTAGTAACATTAACTTCGGTGGTAGAAAAAAGAAATTGACAATGAAAATATCCGCAACGATACGATAGCAATGATATAAAAACAAACAGTAGTGTTATCGAATAAGATAGGCTTGAACTCCTGATGCTGGACCGCTGGTAGATATATCTTTTGGCGGCTTTTTTCCTGATCATAGTGTTGGAGAGGAATAGTTAATACGGCCCAAGCAAGAAGAACTGGCGAGAAAAGGGGGAAGGTCTATTTTTATAGGTTGGTATTGTTAAGCGAATTGTATTGTATTGATGATTCTAGCGGAGCGCTATGATGTTGAAGAATCAGTGATGCTCGAAGTGAATCTGATACGAAGATATGATAGAAATCCTATTCCTCTCGTATAAACTTCCTTCTCGATTCAATCTTTGATAAATTCAGGCACGACATTTGGTGCACTATGGTGCACTCGATGAGTGATATACTCGAGTAGTACCGGCGTCCGAAAGTTACCGGAACATTGGGGTTGGTATTAACAGATGTGTAATCCTAAGACGACATTCTTAACATCTATGGCCATCTCTGAATTGATCTCGCATTGTTCCGGATTCCACTGTATTGTAGTCAAATCGAGGCTAATATGATGGCTACAAAGTCCCGTTTTATCCGACGACGATTATCAAGAACATTAGCATCATCATCGTTAACGGCGCTTCGTCATCTACATAGTCTTTAAAGTACGCGGAGAAATAGAATATACCTCGATTAAAGATTAATATGAAAATATACCAGTACTCACTAATCCTTATAATACCGGTACCCCTTTTCTTCGCGATGTCTGGAAGGAAGAGGATGATCTTGATGACCTCATCATCATTGTGGAGCACACGTGTAAAAAGGATTGGAGGGATTTGATATGAATAATCCCGGTTACCCGTTTGAGATACACCGAAATAAGGTATCAATTAACTCAATTTAAGGCCACCAAATTAATTATAGGTCAAGATCCGAAAGGTTCCGATATACTAGCGTCAAAAGTTTTATTCGTAATGAACAACTTCAAAAGTTCATTTTTCTTCTTTCTAATCAATATTCATTCAATTGAACATCATATTTCCTGTCTTTTTCCTTCTCTCGTAGAAGAAGTACCTAATACTCCCCTCCTCTCTCCTCTCGATCCTTCTTTTTTTATATTATAGATAATCATCATGGTTGGCTCTACCGGATCAACAAAGGTGGATGCAGTCGTCCAACAGGTCACTGCTAACACCCCAGAGAAGCTCGGCGGATTCGCACTTTACTCCAGATTCGCTTTGGCTGGTGCCGTCTGTTGTTCAGTTACCCACGGTGGTCTTACTCCCGTTGATGTGTACGTATTGGAATCACCAATGAATCTTGCGCAATTCGGAGAATTCGGTGTTCCCCGCCTCGAACCTCGAAGAGCGCAAGATAACGAAATAACGAAATGACATGTACTAACTTCGAATTTTCTCCATAGCGTCAAGACTAGAATTCAACTCGACCCCGTTACATATAACAGAGGACTTATCGGTGGTTTCAAACAGGTTATCGCAAAGGAGGGTGCTGGTGCTCTCTTAACTGGTGCTGGACCAACTTTCGCTGGTTATTTCCTTCAAGGCGCATTCAAATTCGGAGGTTACGAATTATTCAAGCAACAAGCCATTAACTTGATCGGTTATGAAAATGCCGTCAACAACAAGACCTTGGTCTACCTCGCTTCATCTGCTACCGCAGAATTTTTCGCAGATATCGCTCTCTGCCCTCTTGAGGCTACCCGTATCCGTTTGGTCTCGGAACCAACATATGCCAATGGTCTCGTTGGTGGTTTCTCCAAAATGTTGAAGAATGAGGGTATTGGTGCTTTCTACGCTGGTTTCGGTCCTATCTTGTTGAAGCAGTAAGTTTGGATCTTGCCCACGCACGTCACAATTGCATGCTAATAATTTCAAAAAGAGTACCATATACCATGGCCAAGTTCGTCGTTTTCGAAAAGGTCGTTGAAGCTATCTACGCCAAGGTCGACAAATCCCAAACTTCCAACGGAATGCAAACCACCATTAACTTGGGATCCGGTCTCATTGCTGGAATGGCCGCTGCTGTCGTTTCTCAACCAGCCGATACCATGTTGTCAAAGATTAACAAGACCAAGGGTCTTGCAGGAGAGGGAACCGTTTCCCGATTGTTTAAGATCGGAAAAGAGCTTGGTTTGAGAGGTTCATACACTGGTATTGGTGCTCGTCTTGCTATGGTCGGTGCTATTACTGCTGGTGAGTAACTCTGTATATTTCTCTTTACATCCTTCATTTACTAATAATCCTTAATAGGTCAATTCGCAATCTACGGTGATATCAAGAAGGCATTGGGTGCAACCGGTGGTGTCGATTTGGCAGTGAAGTAAACGATTGTATAAAAGCAATTGTGAAAAGGGTGCGGGATCGTCAGACATCGTTTAGCGAACCCGGGTTTATATGCATACACTTTTTTGTTCCGGCATGCTTTTCTCCTTGTCTTCAAAGATACTCCGGTCTGCTCTTTTTTAGAAAAGAATAGACGCAATGACAGACCGGAACTTTAGAAGAAGACAGATTTGGAAAGGTCTGCTTTTCATGGCGTCTGTCTGTATAATAGAGGCCTCTCTCCAATAGAATAGATGACAATTGGATGTGATTCATGTTGAAAGATCCTGAATCTGGTGAATGAGGTGGACCCGAGTTGGTGATGAAGATTTTTGATGAATTTAGCTGCAATATTTGCTTTTTTTTTTGCCTTTCGTATTCTTACGATTATTTATAATGTAAGTAAGTTAACCCGATAGCTGTGGTACTGACTGAAGGGGCTGGCTATTATTACTTGTGTTGTTAAGGTACCGAGTAAGATATATCAAAGTTGGTGATGGGATGGGATGAGATGGGATGGGAAGGGAAGGAAAGGGAGGGGGGTGGAGGGGAGGACTTATCGCTGTATTCACACTCGAGTATATATATTCATATGGAGATTCTCATCATGAATTACGAATTATACATCTGAAAAAATGGAAATACTTTTGATATGACATTGTAGATGCAAATTTAAAGATGTGATGTTATAGATGTTATAGATGTGATGTGATAGATTGGATTTTTGAGTTGGGAAATTGAGTTGATGTTAAAGAGTTTGACATTTGGTTGTATATATTTTCTGAATTCTTTTTTTGGGAGAGGGGGAGGGTTTGGGTTTGAGTACCTATGTTTGTGGATGAAATTGTTAGGGGTATATTTAGCTAGGTCAGGTTATTTATTATTGAGGTCGGAGTTGGATGTGTAATATTCGAGTCGTTCTTTCTATTTATTTTTTTACTATTGGTAAGTTCTAAGTCTCGTGCGTGAATATAATATTACAGAATGAAAGGGGTTGATTAAATCATTTGATTATGGTGCGAGTGATTATTTGTAAATATTTGAGGGGTGCTGGTAAGATTACTATACCGTGACTGGAAGTTTTAGATGGTATGCTTGATATATATGCGGCTTATTGTAATTCTGGCTCTATGTCTTATAGACAATTCTGTTGGTATCTACTTGTAACAAAATTTTGATTCTGATTCCTGATCTATCAAAGTACAGTATTTGTTAGAACGCGTACTACTGTACCCTGTACCACGTGCCGTACCCTAGCATTATGCCTTCGCTAGTACTGACACTAGCCTTAGTGTATATACTAGCTAATTTATCAATACAACTATAATATAGAATATATAGAATAATACTATACAGTTACACTTCCAACAGTATTAATAGTGAGGTAGATAGATATCATCGGTCTTTCTCATCAATCTATCTACACATCCACGCATCCACTCGTTCGTATCATATACGTATCTGCAAACCGAATTAGGGTAACACACAAACCAAATCATCTAGGATCACTCATAATGCCTAACTTAATTGTTGTGATAAGGAATGAAATAAATGTGGTGAAAACCTACTGCCTAATGAACAAAACCCCTATGCCCTTCGCTACCAGTAACCTATCATCGCCTAATGAGATATAAAATACCGCTAGCACCTTGCCCATATTTCCATATCCAATCCAACCTAAAACACATTCTTGCCCGTGCATATCATCGCTACCCAGCGCCAGCCCTCACCAAAATCAAATTGTTTCCCAACGAACCATCACACCTGCGATCAAAAATCTCTATTCCCAATTCCCTAAATCTGCACCAGACTTTTGTCCTCCACAAATACACCTAGCCACCAACAATTGTCCCCAAAACAGCAAAAACCATCCATCAATCATCGTACTTCCGTTGTATCGCATCCAGTCCCCCAACTCCTCAACTTCACACCAAAATCCCCTCCCTACCCCATCTCAGATGAACTGTCTGGCGTGTTTGTAAACCCAAAATAACACCAAGAGCCATGTAACAGAACATCACGAAGATAAAACTAGAAGCGAGAACTATCTTCAAAGCTTTAAATAGTGAACCCTTGAAGACTTTTTTCGGAGGCTGGTTTGGTGGTTTGTGTGGGTTGTCATTTGTGTTGATATTTGCAAGTGGCCAGACAACAGGTTCCAGATCATCAATAACATGATCGTTCAGAATAGACCTCGAAACCTGCATCCCAACATCATATCTAACATCACCAAGTCCATCACTATTCACATGATGTCCAACACCATGATGACCCGTGTTCCCGGAAACAATCGTGCTCCAACTCATCCACAGTAACCAGATAATGGAGCATGTGAATAAAGTGTATGTACACAGTAAACTTGTTTTGATGCCGCAAGAACTGCGGCATCCGTCTCAACGAAATGAGGTATGGATTAAGGAAGAAGAAGAGGGAGAGGAGGGAGATTGTGGGGGAAGAGGGAGGAGGGTGGTTTTACGGATGGTGTGGTATTCGTAGAAGCCAGGGGGTGGGTTTGTGTTTGTTTGGTGGGAGGGGAGAAGTGGTGTGGATTGGGTGGCTCGTGTGGGTTTGGGGAGGGGAAGGGGTGGAGAGGGGGTTGGTGGGTTGGGGGTTGGTGGAGGTTGGGGAGGGCTGTGCGTGAATGAGGTGTATTGAGTAGAAGCCATTGAGGAAAGGAAGACGGGAGGAGAAACCATTGAGGAAGTAATGACGGGACGAGCGATAGGGGGAGAAGTTATCGTAGTAACGAGACTCTTGAGTGGTGGTGGTTCTGAAGTAGACAGAACGGCTGTAGCCGGAGACTTTCCGATGTACGAGAGAGGGCTTGTCATATTTGCCACAACAATGGGAATAGAAACTTGTTGTGATTGAGGGAGCTCGAGGCTAGTTGATTGAAATCGATCAGTAGCTATTACCGGAGCCTGACTTTCGCTGGGTGTGGTCTTTGACTTTGAATTAGATGTACCAATAGTCAATGTGGGCGGAGTTCCGGTACTTGGTGATGTAATCATGGTAGACGTATTGCGTGTATTCAAAGAACCGGTATGAACGATACTAATAGGATCTGATCGTACAAGCGTGGTAGTCAATGTGGGTGGAGTTCTAATACTTGGTGAGGTAATCGTGGTAGACGTATTGCGGGTATTTGAAGGACCAACATGAACGATACTAATAGGATTTGATCGTACAAGCGTAGAAGATCTGGATCTATTCACGCTATTTGGAGTCGGAATCCTTGAGACTGTCTGTCCTTTTCCCTTTCCCTTTGGTTGTGCGGGAGTAGGTGTCTTTGGCGTATTATAGGACTTTGGGTTGCCACTACTGTCAACAGGAGAGATACCTTTTGGAGTAGCCATCTTGATATTTGGATGAAAGACGCTTGCTGAGCTACGTGGTAATTTTGTGGGTTTCTTAGCGTTGCGAAATTCTTTGGAATCTGCTGTGATTCTTGATTAGCTTTGCGGCTTTTACTCGAGTAGTTGATGTGGAATTTGAGGAAAAGGATCTTACTTTTGGTGAAAGGCATGTCGAGTAACACAAAGTGTGGTGAATTGGTAAAGTTGAATTGATTGAGGGTGAATATCTTGAAGTTAAATGTTGGAAGGTGATGAACTAGATAATGTATTGATGTTTTGTGGAAAGTAGATGAATTTTCTCAAAACTGTCGGGCCTGATAGATGTTTATATAGATAATTTTGGTGGCTACTTTAAGCTAGCACTCTGAGTCGCTGTAGCAAGTCGGCTGCAGTAATCCGAAGAACTATTTACAATACAGTAGTGATGTCATTGTTTATTTGATAATATTGTGTAATGCAGATGTCGGTACAGTATATGATGTCATATTGGTAAATATCTGCCGTAGCGAGATGAGTGAAGGGGCTGTAGTATTGAATATGATTGTTAGTCCCAGGAACTGAATTCGACCACTCATTCTTGTAGAAATCATCTCCAAATAAACTTTTAAGAATCAGTAGAGTTAGAAGAAAAGATAGCCTTATTATATATTTATTGTCTCATATGATCTAGGCATCCTCACTGGCACATCCCACAAAGTTTTCTCATTAGACATCAAACAACAATGACTCGGATAAAATTTGTTTGATACAAAATGGTCTAGATAAAGATATACATCACATCCAAGAAGCAGTTGTATGCTCTGCCAGCTTATCTAAGTAAGCATTCTGTACAGAGCAAACAAATATACTCATAGAAACTAGACAAAACCCGAATATACAGTCCTATCTAATATAGTTCCGAACTCAATGAGTGACAACAGTGTATCTTGACTAGGATAGATCTACCAGATTATATGACCAGTAAGAGAAAAGAAAGTGGTCCAATACAGTTCAACGTCTACCAAGTCCCTATTCTGTTCAAAGATCAACAACACTCAAGAAGAACAACACTCGGAAAGAACAACACTCGAGAAACTCCAGCTGCATTACAACCATACCCTCTATACTGTAACTAATCTAACTAATATAGTATAGTGCAGCTATTGAACAATCATAGCTAATGATCTAATAACTGTATCTATCTCCAAAATATTCAATAACAAGACAAAACCATCAAGAAAGTCTTTACATCAACTCAACACCGGATTATCAAGAAGATTCTCTACGTTGAATCAATATCAAGTCGATATACAAGAAAGACTTCTATCTACTGACTCGACATCGTTTGAGAGACACACCGAGTCTTCAGAAACCAATACAAATAACTGGTACCTCGGAACACATCTGAAAGTTTTCAAAAGTCAACAACACCAATCAAGATGTTACCCAACAAGTCTTTCACCCAAATCCCAACCTTCTACTTTCCCATCCCCTTCGGCACCGTCACCCCCGAAACACAACCACTCCTCGAGTACCAACGCTCAACTCTGCGCACCCACTCATACATCCATCCGTCCAGAAATTCTTATATCCTGAACCGAGATCTTAGAAAGAATCGTCAAAAGACTGTTTGCTCGTTGATCATCCAGATACAAGCTTCTTTTGCCGTCTTGCTGTTTATTTTTGTGGTTTATGTGGCGGTTTTTGATCACATGGGATGGAATGGGGTGCGTGAGAAGGATGGGGAGAGGAAGAGTCATTTCGAACTAGGGCATTATGGTGCGGATGTGTTGGCTTATCATCGTAATGATACTGGGGTTTTCGATGTTGCGGTGGAACAAGCGACACCACTTGGGATGACTCAATTGAAGGGCGTCGAGTTCGCTATCGTATATTTCATGGCTTTTCTTGCAGCATTGGTTGCTAGATCGCCTGGCTACTTGATGAGTAAATGGGGCGCGTGTGTTGGATGTGATGAGTTCTCCGATGAGGAACTTGAGGAGAGATGTGAGCAGCAGGCTTTGATTGCTGGGGAATAACGTCTGAGGGTCGTTGTGGAGGGTGTGGATGATTGGACTATTGATTAATTGGTTCAGAGAATAGGATTTGCAGAATGAGATGATGAGTATGGAAACTCGGAACTTTCATGGAGTATGGGTTTGAGTAACAGGAAAGAACAGATCCTATTGCTCAGATCATACCGCAATTTCATCAACTCTGTTTATAATAAATAACAACTGAAACTTTCACAATTAGCAATATCAAGTTTCATCATCATGATATATGCAATCGTGTTGACGGAATGAGATAAATGTATTTCTTGGGACGGTTCTCAGCACTTGAAGGTTACTGGCTCGTGAGGTATGGAACTTCATTGAGTATGAGTCTGAGTAACGGGAAGATTAAATCCTACTGCTTAGATTATACTTCGATACTATCTATTCTCTGCTCATGAACCACAACGAAACTGCTACATTTACTAATATCAAATATCATAAGTACAAATATACACTCGCATTGACAAAAATAAAATAAATCCATTGCTTGGGAAAATTCTCATCACATGATGGACGCCGGCTCATGAGATAGATTGAGATATGATCATAAGATTTAGGCGGCAATGCTGTCTTCTCCGTTGGAGGATTCTCCTACAGAAAAATTCATTCAAGATATAAATACAAACTAATCCCCCCTTTTTCCATGTTTGTTGCAATGTGACTTCTTTTTCTATGTGTAGTAGTGAGATATATGAACGTGTAAGACTTAGAGTTTCATAAAAGTATCTGAATATACCCTTAGTGGTGATGTTAGCAGCATGCATGTCTATGATTCAAATTATAATGATCAGATACTCTTCTTCATCAATGCAATTATGAAGAGGCACTACAAGCAAAAGAAGGATATAGTTGTCTTTACTTTCACTGATCTTTAAAGCATTCGAGCTTGCATTTTCTAAATACACTTGTTTCGGAAAAGCAGTCATCATCTTGATACTAGCTCGCAAGACCGACACCGGAATTTCAATTTCGTAGACAAATCGTAGCAAAACAAGTAGGAACCGTGGGCTTTTACATTCAAAAGACTATTATTATGTAGATAGGTTGAACAAAGCAAATTAGCTCAATTCAAATATCTAGTTTGGGTGATGATCGAAGGGTGAATGTCTTCCCCGTTCCCATTATAGCACCCCAGTATATTTAGGTAAGGAGGAAGGGCGGGGGCTTTTTGAAGTGCATGGGATGCTTTTTCAAGAGAGATTAATACTATTATAAAGGTGATGATATCAAACGTGATGATGGTAATGGTGGTGAGTGGTGGTGGGCAGTGAAGGAGTGGATTTTGTTATATGATTTGAAGGAGGAGGGAAGGGGGGAGGAAGGATAGTGTAGAATTAATGGTGGGTAGGTAGAATCTATGGTAGGAGGATAAAGTTTATGATTAAATGGGTAAAATCTATAATAGTTTATCGAATATATTAGCTTAACGCTTATATATAGCCTAGCCCCTTTTACTTCAATTTTATCTTTATATCCAAATTCTTTTTGATGGTCAGTTATTCGACATGATATGCAGTTCCTCTTCAAGGTCCTCATAGTGCTGTATAAAGCGCAAACTTGACGCTTTCGTGTATAAATTTTCCGCAATTAGCATGCCACTGTTCAACACCCTCAAGGTTTTCGTCCGTTATTGGGTATCTGGTGGCGTTAACCTTGCATATTGGATCTACTCACCTAATGCCACTATCACTCAAGCTCCATCCACCGTTGGTAAGTTCTCCCGTTGAAATAGCCGATACCTCCATTCGAACCCATCTAAATTAGACAAACTCCTTGCAAAATCCGGCGTAGCATACTACCTATATGGTGAAAACTCATACTTGCTGGTATACATCATTTCCTTGCTTTCTCCGTTGTGGTGTGATTGTATCGGCTTGCTTGGCGGAAGTGTATCTTCAAAACACTTTCGTCTAGATACTTATACTTAATTAGGTTGGCGAGTTGTATTTGCTGTATGGCTTCACATGGCTTCATATCAAAGATCTTCTCCGCTAGTTAACAACCAAAGACTTTGTAATATTTTGGGAAATAATTAATTGTGAGATAAAGATCTTTGGGATCCTGAAAAGAAAACGAGCAATACAAACGTCATTCTTTTAGATGCTAATACTTTTCACATCCCCTCTCAACATCGAAAGGTATGACCAACACTCTATAGCAAGTTGGTTCTCGATTAATGTTTAGCTATCACTCATGACTAACACCCAGGGAACGCAATGTAATTTGATGAGAAGCGTTCTCAATTCTATGCCTTTCAATATATGAACGCTCATTGAATACAGGTATCATATTTTTTGCATGACCATCCGTCATGGCGAAGAAGCCTTATCTCCTTCCCAGCCCTCACTAACCTGCGACTCCGAAATCAAACCAGCAATAAAGCAAATGCAAAAGTAATCCAGATAAATCAGTAAACTAGCCCGATATTCATCAACCCCCCAGAAATTCATGACTGCCTCGCCCGAGCCAAGAGGAAAGAAGACAAATGCCAGAAGAGCCCGCCATATACGCCTGAAAGTAACATTAATTGAAGACCTTTCCTGTCATCCTTCACCAATCATCCTTCACCCATAAGATCCCAAAGACCCATCGACACCAAATATCATTTACTGATCTGCAACTCTACCCCGAGGCCAGGCAGATGAGTAGTATTTAGCTCTATCATTCTGATCAAACAATCCAGGCCTAATCTTAACCAAACCACGACGAACAGCAACCAAAAAAAACATGCTGATGTACAAGAGCACAGCAAAGATGATACTGCAAGGGAGTCGGATGCTGGTAAAGTTATGCGAATTGTTCGTACAAACATCAGCGGTATCGATATAGTTTCATGTATAAACTGTAAGGTTTGAACCAGCAAGATTGACATCATTGAGCGGAGCAATAGTACCATTCCCATAATTCACAGTGCCGTTGATGACATCGGTATTTTTGAAAGCAAAAGCGACGCGATAGCTGATGTCCGTAAACATGGGAATTAAATCGATAGGGATAACGATGACTAGACAGAGCATACCAGCGAGTAGGGGGACCTTCATGAAGTCAAGAAATCCGGTGCGGCGCATGTTGTTGATCTCACGCTTGAGCTTGCTGCAGAGAGGTGCCTCGTTGTTGGTAGGTGCATTAGCAGCTTGTGGTTTGTGGGTTGGAAGTTTGCCGAGCTCAATATCATGGCTGATATCTTGGAAGGAATCCTCATCAGAAAATGTGCTAGATGACTTGGTTGTGTATATGCTGTCTCTGCTGCCGAGATCTCCTTGATCAGCATACATATCGGAAGACTTATTTGCGTGTGTGCTGTCTCTGCTGGTAGGAGCTAGCGTGCTAGAATCAGACCCGAAAGCTTGTCTGAAAGCTCCGATGAATGACATGTTGGATAATTAGATTGCGTTCGTAACTTTGATTATTGTTAGTATCATGGCTAATTTGGGCATGGAGAGTCAAAACACCTACTTGTTTATTGAAGATATGGTATAATAGATTCGGAATCTGTTTATGTACTTGGTTTGTCTTGTAAAATATCTTTTGTCTGGTATTGTTGAAGTGTTGTGTTGTGTTGTGTTGTGTTGTGGAAAGAAAACAATTTGTCCATGGAGGAGTTTTGAGGACCTTACTATATGTTCAGATGTTTTGTACGGCAGCTTCAAATTCTTCTATTCAGACTATAGCTAATTTATTAACATCCGTCTGTTGTACTCGGTTATTGTTGGACTAATAGTGAACATTAGCTATTGCCTTTCATCAGAACCATACCTACTGTTGAACCATACAAAGTTGTTACTCACTTTAGTCTAAGTCAATAAATCCAGGGTTTGAATAGTTTTGAGGGGTTTTGGGGATTAAAATCAATGTAAACATTCACGTATTATAGATTGAATTCCGTGACTTCACTTCACTTCAAATCACACATCCAAATATTTAGAGATTCTCCAAAACATAATATCACCATTCACGGTTCAGCATATTAGTCTTTCTGAATTTTTGTGATTAATGAATGCTAGCTAGTATCATTAATTTGTCTGCATCCCTAAAAAACGAAGAAGATCTCCTGCAACATTCCTTGCCCCATCGCCCAACTATCCTAATGCAGTAAATCTCCTGTATGAAAGAATCCATTCATTCTGTTTCTTAACGAAAATCTTTCTTAACTATAATCCTTCCGATCCGCTGTATCCTCCATAACCATTGTCCTAGCTCCACCCAAAACTACCTGACCCCGATTCTCAATTGAACAATCACTATTCCCACACAAACAGTCCCTGCTCCGCCATTACCCGCCTCTCAAGTCTCTAAGGCATAAGCGCAAAGAGAATGGAACAGAGAAACAATACCCCAATAACTAAATCGTCCTAGCTCCACCAAAAACCACTCTACCCGAGTCCCAATTGAACCACCACTAAGCCCACACAAACAGTTCCCGCTCCACTACCACCAACCTCTCAAGTCTCTAATACATACAGGCAAAGAGAATGGAACCGAGAAATAATGCCCCAACAACTACATGAGTCGCATTGATCTTAACACGATAATTGTTTTTCTTCTCTGCCAAAGCAAGCTGCATCTCCTACTGCCACTTCGCCTTCTCTTCTTCTTTAGCATGAATACGAGCTCGCTCTCTGCGATCCTTCTCACACATACAATGCGTTAAATTGTTTTCCCAAATAAACTGTCTCGCTTCTTCAACACGACGCATGATCATCTCTCTTTCCCGACGCTCTGGTTCTTCAGCGCGTTGTTTAGCAACGAGGATCTTAACCTTCTTGGCTAACTTGTCCAAGTCTTCCTGTTGTCGAACCCGTACTTTTTCATAGTGTCGTCGTCTATTCCATGCATTCGCGAATCGGAGTTTCCGGAGTCGGTATTGTCGGAGTTCTTCCCTGATACGGGCACGTCGTTGTTTTGCGAGTTCTTGGTTGGCGGCGCGTAGCTGGTTCTTTCGCTCTTCCTCTTGATCACGTTGATACGTTGAGAGTTGCTGGTGATCTGCGAGATCGAAATCCATAGGATCATATTGAGGATATTGGTATGGGCGAGCGATCATGGAATAAGTGAAAGGCATTTTTAATGATTTGGATGAAGTTAATTGGGAAGTGACTTGGGTATCTGGAAAATCTTCGAATGAACTTGGCGAATAGTGCGAGTGTTGCGACACGATGATTCGGGGAATCGACTGGTTGATTGTGGAGGTGATATCGAAAGGTTGATTTGATGTTGAAGTTGAAGTCTGATGTCGATGCCGATTCGGATCTTAGATTTGGGCGTTGGAAGATGATTTTGGAAGTTTTAGTTGTATGGTTTCATGATGCATAGCTGCAGGACAGATGAACATTAAGTATTGATGGCATATCTTTTTATACGGCAGTGATGCGATTCATCAGCTGTACTAAGTTAATAGAAGCTCTACGGTTTCTACCGTATGGATATTGACCCGTATACAGAGTTCTGATACTTTGATCAGAATCTATACAGTATAATACCTTTTAATCATTATAGTTATAGAAATCTGAAATATAATCTGAAAAGAAAACAACTTTTTTAAGTTTAGTACTGCCATATCACGGTGCAGATGTGAACCATCATGAGTTTCACAGGTAACAAAGTCACATATAAACACCGAACACGATCGATTATAAGATGACAGAAGTGATATTCATTGACTAAACAATTAATTGCGCTGGAGGATATATGAGCCATTCCTTATACACTGCTACAGTTGACCTGATCATGACACCAGTCCGCAAATAAATGACAGTAAGACAGACTATTAAAATCATTACCAAGCAACAGTTCATATCCTCGCAAGAAACAACAAACTTTTAGAATCGAAAAAAAAAGTATCATCCTTTTCCCTACTGACTATCTACCGAAGCATCCATGTGGATTCATGTCAACCATGCTGAAGACCACTCTTCTAGCATGATGAAGCTTTCGTAAACGACCACAGTGACAGAGAAGAATAAAACAAACAACAAGATACAGAGAAAGAGTTAATACAGGCCACGCATGAGTAAACAAGGACGACATTGTGGAAGAAATCTCAAGTCAGGGCAACTAAAGGAGATTGGCAAATTGACGAACGATCCAATTGAAAGGCATCAAGACGCAGTTTCTAGCTTCCTTTCTGTTTTGATCCAAGGTCTCTTGATTGACTTGCGACTCTAGATTATCTTCCTGCTTTCGACCAGTGCTGCTTGCCAAAGTTGCCATTTCAGTTTCAGAACGGACAAACAAAGGACCCTGTTAACAAAACCTGTATTAGTTGAGATGCTCTCAATGAGAAGTGTTGTTGTCACTCACAGTAGCTGCGTTAGAAGCTCTGGAAAAGGATCCAACATGACTCCAAACCCCACCCATTTTTTCGGCTGCGTGCTTTGCCTTCGAAGCCTTGTTTGCAACAAGGATACGCAACTTTCCATTCTTTGTCTTTCTTGGGGCAGCAGTACTAGAGTTCTGTTCATAGACTGGTGTAGCTGCTTGGGTAACCTCCGAGCAAGGAAGAATCTCGAAAACCGCACCAACTTTGATCATCGTATCCCGGTCAGTTGGTTGCGCACCATGCTCACTTTGGGCAACATGGTGGATTTCTAGTCCTCCAAGACCGCCATCGAAAGAAGCGCGGTCAAAAGTGAAGCTTGGAACTTCAAGAACTTTAGTGGGTTGTTGAAGTTGGTTGCCAAAATCCATGGGGGTGGCTCTACGGCGAGGAACTTCTTGAATCTCGTCGAAGCTGGCGTGCATCGCAACATGCTGATTATCTGGCTCTTCAGTAATGATTGGGGTTCTCATTGGAACAGGGAACGGGATATTCTCCCATGCTGGAGAAGGTACCGCAATTGCTGGGGAGGACTTGGCCGTGTCCAAAAGGAATTGGTGAAAGTCCGCAGACTGGAATTGCATTTTCTCCCGAAAGAGAGCATGCTCTTTGTCGGTCCGAGCCCTATTGAAAGTCCAACGCTCTATAGCCGCCTGCTCACGTGCCGAGATAGTTGATCTTTCGCCGCTGATATTACTTTGCAGATGTTAGTGTTTCTGTCTTGCAAAATTCGATTGAGGAGTAGCAAAATATTGTTTTACCTCGAATGGGATTCCGCAATGCGTGGAGACATAACGAAGCTATTGCTGGTAGTTTCGCTTTCTAAATGTTAGTATTTCAAACTTGCCAAACTTCAATGATAAGTGAGGAAGGAGAATTCTTACGTAGACTGCGACATCTTTGCGCGTAGTTCTAACCTGAAGAGGACTTTGAGGGATATAGAGAATGACTGAAGTTACTTTGAAGTCCAACGCGACAGTTATTGAGGGACTTTAGGAGCCAAAACGTGAGGAAGAACTTGAACTCTCGAAGTGTTTGCATCAAAGTGCGATGGAAGAGGCCGCAACTTATGGGAGTGGATGAAAAGGGTGATTGGAACAATTTGAATATAATTGATTCAGTGATATTGAATTGTTTCTTGATGATAAATGAGAATGATTCCCCAATGACCAACTGAAAAGATTCTAACTCAAAGTATGGTGATAAAAATTTGTTGTTGTGGGAAGGAGAAAGCAGATGTCGACGCGACCGAAGGTGAAAAGTATATTCACCACTCAAGGCTTTGGAATATACCGTGTCATTGGCCACTTGAGGTATTTCGAGCTGTTAGTGTCGGCAGATAGAAGGCTGGCTTGTTAACATATTTCTAGATAGCCTTGTGAACTATTAGACATGGTTATGTCTAATATGAGGGCAGTTACTTCAATCTTTTGGGTATACTTCTAACACAGCAGAGTAACTGAGTATTAATTGGGGATTGCAATTCGTTCTAGTTATCACTCCACTCACACAAAATGGGAGAAGCAAGTGGTTTATTGAACTGAGTCCTTAATTTTCATGGCCAGAATATCTGTGCATGCTGCATGCAAACACCAGAATCCCTGACAACCTAACAAACTGTCCAAATTCTTCTTTAAAACCAAAGACTCACTGGCATATACATCTTAGGACAAAGCAAACCCTCACCGGCATGCCCAAATCTATATGTAAACAACCGAAAGTAACAAGGCATCCTGCAGAACTGTTTCCAAACCCCTCCCCTTTGCCACTCCGTACTATGGATCCAATGTATTCAAAGACGCATTGTTTCGATACTACCAAGCACAAGGTGACTGTTGTTCTCAATGTAACTCTTCCCCTGGACCTCTGATTTAATCTTGGTGTTCAAGCGGCCCTCATGCTTATCCAGTCTGCCTTGCAACTTAGCCATCTCATAAGAAAAGCGCATGTTGGCTACCAAAAGGAAGACCAAGATATATATAAGTGCTATAACCAACGTGACAATGGCCGCTGTGATATCTAATTCCCCAGAAGTTTCGTAACACTGTGCAATGTTAGACATTTCTTCGCAAAAGTGTCTACCTTGTTGGTCCAAAGTGGTTTTGAGGAGTGGCATGGTAACAGGGCGAAACTTGATAGCTCTGAACTCCAACATGATAGCTTTGAGATCCAATTCGATGTCGTTGCGGCGAAGGCAAGAGAAGATAAATAGGCAAGTGGCGTAAGTGATCGAGAGTGTGGCAAAGATAAATAACGAGAGTTGGGAGAATGATCTGGTCCAGACCTTGAGGAGCCAGTAGTTCATATTTTCCCGTTGAATTAGGATTTCCTTCTGGCGCTCCGACTCTCGCTTGAGCTCCATAGCCTCTTCGAACAACCTAGCTTTTGCGGACCTGACAGCTTCTTTAGCCTCTTGGACCTCCATCGCTTTATCGACTACAAAGGAGTAGGAATCGGATTTGGAACGAGGCTTCATTGTTTTGGCTGGTGCTTGCTGTAATTCCATAAAGAGTTAGATAGCTGCTCAAGTCAATTGTAAAGCACAGGAGGCTGGGGAAAGGTATACCATTGGTAATGTTGAATTATGATCAGGTGGAAAGGTCGGTTATAGTGAGGTTGGAAGAGTTCTCAAAGCAAAAGGGGTAGGTGATGACTTGTGAAATTTTGTGAGGATGAATGGAGATCTAGTTGGCAATGCCACAGATCGATATTGTTAATTTGAAGACAGACAATATCGATCTGAAGTGGTGAGGAAATGAAAGAAAAGAAAGGTTTTGAATAAACAAGTTATTTGTTCTGGAGGATCGGTCGCCTAGGGCACCGACGACAACTGACGCTAAGCCTCTTTATCATATGAGCTAAGCCTTCTTTATTATATGAACTTTTCATATTTGGATACTTTAATTTCTAAATTTGACAGTGAATCTAGGAACTATTGCCAGAATACTAATCTGCCAAAATTGCATGAAAATATGGTCTCTCAAGAAGAAGAAGAAGAAGAAGAGACGAAAACTTAGAGAAGCAGAAGAAACAGCTACACCTCTCAAAGTCTGACAAAGATTTTCTGCTGTAATACATGTTTGGAAGTTCTAATCTCGACGCTCTGTTGCTTAACTAAAGCTGTTTCAATTAACTTTTTAGAGATTGGTATATTTGACACTATTTTGATGCTCTCTCCTGAGCTCAACCAGCTTGGGCAATTGGCATGACTCCTCAAAGCAGCCGTCAAGTAGTAAGTCAATGCCTTCTTTCAATCTATATATTCGTCATATCCTTCTATCTTCTATCAAGACGGCTCTTCATACTTCATAGCATTACAACTCCACGCTTCCTTTCTCTAACTTGAACTTAAAGTCCTTCCGTCCACCAATTCCTACATCGACCCTGAACAACGCCCCGGCATACTCATCGCCTCCATCACTCGCACTCGTGACCCACAATTCCGTGCCGATGAATACTGGGCATGTAACACACTTCGTTGGATATTTGATCTCGCCAACGACTTGCCCTTCGGGGTTGATCTTCAGCACACGCCCTTCTCCAAATATACATTGCCAGATATTCCCTTCCGAGTCGAGCTTGAATCCATCGGGCTCCCCATCACCATCATGTTTCCAAAAAACTCGTTGGTTACTGACGTCACCAGTAGAGGGGTCGTAGTCATACGCCCATATTGTTTGCTCGGTTGTGTGGGTGAAGTAGAGAGTCTTCTGGTCGGCAGACCAGCCGATTCCATTGGGAATAGTGAGACCTTCACGAATAGTGTGACGTGTGAGATCATTGTCGAAGCGGAACATAGTGCCTAAAGCAAGTTAGATTTAGCACCAAGCAGATACGGCACAAGGATATCAGCATGTTTCAAAGGCGCCGCACATCACACGACCGTAGAGTGAGATACTCGGAGACGAAAAAGATATGCCTGACCACTTGGTCTCTGTCGGGTATCAATGACTCAAGCTTCCCCTTTAATATCAAGCAGAAATCGAAATATCACCCACCCTCACTCTGTGGCTCCCCCACCCAAAAGTCATTCATTGTTCCAACCCAAAACCTCCCACTTGGATCCACGGCCCCATCATTACTTCTCAATCTCTCATCTCTTTCCTCACTATCATAAAACCTCTTCAACAACTTCATCTCCCCATCGCTCCTCCTTAATACATAAATCCCACTTTTGCCACCCACCAATATCCTATCGGTACAGTCTATACCCTCAATATCGGCTGTTACACCGACAGGCATATCTAGCTGCATGGTCTTGAGTGACGATGGGCCAACATTGAGATCAATTGTGTGAAAATGCTTCTTTTTGATGTCCACAAAGCGGAGTGTGTTAGTGGAGGGCTCATAGAATGGTGCTTCACCGAGGCCACAGTGTGGGTTGATGTAGGGTTCTGTGACTGTCCATATTTTTATGGAAGACATGGCTAAGGTATTACTAGACATGAGGCTCGAGACCTAATCTAATGCTGCTTGGAAATCTGAGTCCGGAGATACAGATAGATAGATGTTGATATATTGCAGTTGTCACTCACAGAACAGCGGGGGAATGTCTGGTGGGGGAAGCAACTTGACTGATGTCACCACATCGGAAAATCTTTTCAGCGAGAATTGGAATTTCGAATGGTTGCTTCGTGAAAAGTATTCCAAACAACCTAATACTATCGGAAAGAAGAGTGGAAATAAGTATTTCTGCATTTTGATATACCATCGCTTTCATATAGGTTGTACTGTGATTCTGTGCTGCAATTTGGCAATATTCGGTACGCCGGGCCTCTCTCCGTCGTTGCAGAAAAGGCAAATTTGGCAGATGTTCCATGTTCGAGATACATGCTTATTGCCTTATGAGCCTTGAGAAGATTCTTCTACTATTGAAATACGATGGTTGAATAATATACTGTTTCTGATGTTACCTTTACTGTACTACTTTGATTATTGATTGGTCTTGCCTGTCAAAGTTCTCGTTTGAAATAGTTTCGAGTTAGTGGTTGTACTGTGTTCTCCCTGTGCCATATCTTCGTGTGTTTTTGTCGCATATGACTTGCTATCCGGAAGGAACACGTCGCATTGGAGAAGGATTTTTGGTGCAGGTTCTCTGACGTGTCGCCATGTTGTCCTCTAATTCTTGATTGCCCACTTTCTCCATTATTTATGATCCATTGAACCAACCGAGTTTCTCGGGCTCTGCCGATGACTCCGCTTTGTAGATGTTCCGTGGAAGGAATGGTGTAGCTGGTATTATTCGCTGCCGTTAAGGTCAACAGAAGACCTAAGTTTAAACACCTTTTCATCATTCGACCCTGGTGTAGCTTACAAGTAATTGAAGTTTGGGGCTTTTCTTCTTCATTTTAGGTGTCTTATGAAGCTCAAATCGCGGCCTTATATTGCCTAGACTGTGAGATCAGAGTTTGAGGTTTGGGATTATTTGTAGGAATTCGGTATAATAAGATATTGCTCTATAACTGATTATATGGTCTTCCAAGTGCTCGGACCTGGAATCAATTATCCAGCAAAAAGAATCTTGGAATACAATCCTGATGATGGCTTCAATGGCTATTAATCTTTACTACCTGTGATAAGCCATAAATTCTGGATATCACTAGAAACTCTTCGGATATCCCGAGACTTTGCACGATCGACCAGCGCTAAAGCAGGTGAACTGATGCAGTGATACAGAGATTGCCAATAAAGAAGCGCGTGTAATCACCCACTGAGAAATTAAAGACATCATGTTGCAAGGCTGGGTTGAGGTTGAGGTGCGCATATATCGAAAGCGAATCTCACGACGCTGTCATTTATGATGATGTTGCTACTGGCGCCAGCGAAGAATCTTCACCGCTGGGGCCAGAACTCTCTTTTGTCTCTTCGCCTTTCACCGACAGTCGGGGATTTCCAAAGTAGGCCTAAATCGGATATTTGCGTGTCAAACGTGGATACGATTTTGAACGCACGCATGAGAATCGTCAATTTGGCGCTATCTCGTCACATTGCGCAAGAGAGAGTCAATCCCGGACCTCATAAGACTTATTGACGACTTGCAGATTCGGATGATACACGTTAGGATTAGATAGTAGCAAAGATAAACAGGCAGACCGCTGTTCGCCATGCGTTTTTCGCAGGCTCTGGATGGTGTGGAGAAACAGACCGTTGCTGAGGCAATAGACGAATCTTCGACGATACCTGGTACGTTCACGTGACTGAATAGTTTCCAGACGAGAGATGCAGATGGCGTGCACATGGATAAGGTTAATATAAGGAAGCAAGAAATGCTTTGTTCTTGTATTGCGCTATCTCTCTATTTCGGTATCGAATCATGTCGTGTTGCTCACTTCCCCGAACGGGAATTCGCGGTGTACACATTACCTAAGTCATAAAAGTTACACAACAGTAAGACAATGTGGATATCAATCTTGCAAAGTCATGTTGACTTGGTGTGAAGCTCCACGGAATCAAATATTCCAAGGTTCATTTCCACACCGAAATGTTGACTCGGATCCTCCTCTGGATAGTATGACAACAAATCCCGATCAGATATAACAAATAACAATTGTCAGGTATGATAAAGCGGCTCTGATATCTCCGGAAGCTTAGATTATATTATCATTACCAAGTTATCCAGGTCCTAGCCTCTTCATTTCTCGTGTTTTGTATTGCCGAATCGAACGTGGTGGCTGGGACGTTGAGAGTTCCAGTGGTGGTCGCGCTTGACATGGTCCCGGGTATTAAGATGATGGCATTGGTTCCGAAAAGCACATGACTGTCTTTTCCTGCGACTTGTCTCCCGCTGCGTGTCCGTTATGGAGTACATATGCGGTATCTGCACGTGCGGGGATTTACAACGTGCTTCTTCATGAAAGCCAAGCATTAAAGGGCCAATCATCCTAGTTCGCCTCATAATTTGCATCCATGTACAGCATTGGAGATGGTTTGTCTCTTCGTCAATTGGGATGGAAGAATCATCTACCTACTGAATATTCCAATTTATAGCATTGGCGGCTCGCCTTGTAGACTTGAGATGGAAGGAGACTTGCTATTCCCTAAAATTTCCCTTCAATTGTGGTGGTTGTGTGTTGTTTGGCACTGTCACAGTCGTATAATATGGTCTGCATAAGTGTGAGCTTGCATTGCTCGCATAGACCGCTGTCCAATATCCTCCCTCCCTTACTTATCATAATGCATCGAGGTCAAGGGCCGAAGTTGATGACATTTTTCGGTTCTGTCAATCTAACTTTGCAGATTCCATGGTAAGTAAAATGGAGGGTTGGTGAGCCGTATTAGTTTGGGTTAGGGAATCCGATGACCTTAAAAACTTGATAAATGAAAACAACAAGCTGATTTTGTAGAAGTGGATCGTAAGAGGTTCTGGAAAGCCGATGATGAAGTGTTAGATGGCGCTAAGCTTGTTCGAGTCCAATTCACTGGGATTGCCGGCATCAATCAAAACTGGATATAAGTTGCAATGGAGCGAATATAATTATTCAATTACATCAGACGACGTAGGCCTGCCCGTAGGAATCAGGAAAGCTACCGAAAAGGAACATTTGTAGAAAACGAAAGCCACCCCTTCATAACTCCTCGTTTATTTGAGGTTCACCGAAAGCTAGCCTAAAGGCAAAGGTTTAGTGTCTCATTCGAACTTCGAATTAATGGTCAACTAAATACTGTAATAACAAATTGTGTTTTAGAGTTTTATGGAGTTTGCAATCATCCATGGTACGGGGATCTAACATTTAACATGGTACAAGGAGTAATTACGCTAAGAATCCTAAGATGAGATACCAATAGTCCGAACCTAAATTAATAATAAATAATTGACCTTCCTGAATTTGGTTCTATCAATCTCTCCTCAGACCTCGAGCTTTGAAATGTTTTGCTTAGATTCAAGCCGATAACCTATTATTCCCATGGTCGATAAAGGTAGGTAGGTATCTGGCAAATATAGCATTCATTAATTAACATGAACCTCGCGAAATTTCCTGGATTTTTGCCAACGCAAGAAGTTGTTATGGAGGGCTTCCCCAACAGGTTCTTTCGAATTTTATGATAGCTTGGTACCGAGTGTAGGGTCCGCTCATGAAAACGGAGAGACGTAACCAGTCGTAGAGGATGATGAGGGACGAGTAAGGCGTATCGATAATCACCTTGAGAGATTAGATTATCTTATATGCATTCGAAGTTCATCACAATATGTCAGTGTTTCATCGAACGTTTTGCGGTTGTAGAATTCCCCTGGTGAATATTTTTATACAAGCATAATGAGACCGCCACGACCGCTTGAAAGTTATACTATTGTACCATAGAGTTTGAGTTTAGATCTACAGGCATCATATGACATTAAATGTGATCTCCATGGATCAGGTACAGATGCCTTTTGGGCAGCTATGCGCGCTGTGTGATTGTTATGCGGACCATCTTTTTGAGGTGGTATCGTCAGCGGCACGGCGCGTGGCGCATGACTTTCTTTTTCTGTAGAGCCGGATGAAAAGGTTGTTCCCTTTCTGGTGCGAAGAGATAAAAGTCATATATGTGCTGTCCTGTTCTGTGACTGACTTTATTGCCCGCGTTACGCAATCTAATCGGAGAAGGCGATTGATGTTGACGAATGCTTTGGGTGGAAATGCTTGGTATCTAAAATTGTTTGGAGCGGTTGCGAATCTGATGTCTAACCTTCCATGCGATGGCGCCCTCCAGGATCCCCCAAGCATACATACATCAGTGCGTAGAAGACTGGAACTTATGCAGCTCATCTTGCTGCCGCTCACCGGTGCTCTGGTCCAAAATAAGTGTGAAGATATAGTATGGCCAAGCCAGCGTACGACCACCGGATCAAATTGTCGACATGGGTAAGAAGTAAGATCCAAGATCACCGGGGTCCGCAATTCCTGTTTATTTCAAAGTTCTAGTTCATGAAATTCTGTTCTAGAAGATGAATGTTACTGTATAATATTTCCGATTTGATTGTATGCATACTGTACTCGGTACCTGGCATACGAGGTCACAACTCTGGGCGATCTTAGAAGTTTCCGAAGGATTTATAAGACCTGAACACACTGGTAATTGAACGATAATAATTGAGCTTGAGCTGTTCAATTGAACTTTGCACGGCTAATAGGCTGTGCTAATCAGCTAAAAGTCGATTACTAGGGGGCTAAGGAAAACATAGGAAATTAGGCATTATAAGGATCTTTGATTGAAATAAGTTTCAATGGTCATTAGCTCTGCCATACAGTCTCCCTGCTGTCAGAATTCTCGGGTCCTTCTACTCGGTGGCTGTGGCGATGGGATGAGAGAATTAAATTCAATCAATATTTGAAATCAATTCGCCAATAGACATCAGTCTTACTTGGAGATATCAAAGCTTTTCCCCTTGTAAATCCCGATGTCTTGATCAAAAAGAGGAATATCGATCGAATAGAAGAATTGGGAGCGAGAAATGGCCATTTCCGTCTTCTTACTTTTTCCTTACACTTTTCATTTGCAGGATTCCTTATGCATATGGAGTATAGTTCCCACCTAGACTTGAGCTTGTGGTAACTTGGTCACCACGTTGAAAAGTTACCAACCACACTGATTTTGTCCTGCAGAGGGCGGATATACTAATGCAAAGCGATACGGTGTTCATCAATCAAAGTTCCGTATTTCTGCAGGGCGTAACATGGGAAGAACGTGCGAGCTCGGCAACGACTTTGTAAGACTTTAGCCTGTACTAAACTTGTAACTAGGTCTCTATAATGCAGGATAGCCATCACCCACCTTCCACCTCTAATCACCTACCGGTATTTCCCAATTCCTTCAGCGCACTGATTATCGAAGAATGTAGCTAGTAGCTCTTATCTTTTCTAGTAAGAACATCCCAGGCGGCTTCAAGCTTCAATTATCTTCACCCACAAAAGCCTCTAATTCGATCACACTGTGATGATTTTTACCATATAAGATTACAACTCATTTATATAATCCTCTAGCAGCGGGGAGATTATGCATCTACAAAGACATATGCATTATCGTGCTATGCGCGCAAGTATCTATATGGAGATTCGTCACAAAATGATGCAAAGAACATTTACCTACCTAGGGAAAGTACAACAGCTAAAGCTTTTTCTATTAAGCGCCCTTTGCTCGAAGGAGAACATATCAATGTAGTCTATCCATAATATAACGTGATACACAAGGATCTCCTGCGCGTGGCCTCCCGCTTTCCGAATGCTGGAACCAAGCACGGTATGGCTCCAGAAAATAGTTTCCTGGGACATTGTGTTTAAAAATTAGTCTTGAAAGGATACCTTTAAGCCCTGGTACCTTGAAATGCTACAATGCCTGCAGCCAACAAGCAACCCCCAGCTGGTGCCTCGAGAAAAAAAAAGGATCCGCTTCATTACAACCCTGGAAAAACAATTCCATGAACTCTGGTGCTGGTGCGGTGAAGGGTAGGGTCAGTGTCTGTGAGCAATGAGCGTGGGATGGGACGGTTCAAAGAACCACAAAGCTTGGGGTCTTCCTCCTCCATGCAGAAAGCTGTGCAGAGCTAAAAGCGTCATCCACCACATTCTTCCATCTACAATCATCCATCTTCACCAATCTCTGCATTTTCTGGTATTTCTTTACAGACAGACTGCCGCATCAGCCTGTAGAAATCCGATAGAACTTGGTTCTGACATTCTTTCCGTGCACAACTACCACTTACAGAGCTTTTTTACTCGTAAAACCCGTCAGTGGTGCGCCAACCTTTTGAATATCCACCTATCTGTATGTTTATTTCGTTATGCCTTCGTTTCATTCCACACTACTGGCCATGGCATCCACTCTGTTCATCTCTAATGCTCAGTGAGTTTGCCTCACAGTATTACAAGTCATTCCTCTCTTTTTGGTTCGAGGCAAGGCCCGCCTTCGCGATTCACGTATTCACGGTCACATCTCATGCTCCCGAGAGAATCCCTGTCGGACCACTTCACCTCACAGGAATTGATACAAATACATAAATAATCACACTCATGCGCACAAGCAATGCTTTTCCATTTGACGATTGATATTGAATTCTTCGAATGACAGAGCTGAGAATAGCAGGATAAAGCGCTGACCCCTCACCGCTCGCTGAAAAGCCTCATTGGCAAGCTCGCGCCATAGATATTCGATCTGGCTGTTCAAGGTCCTTTAAGTCGCCCATTGCGCGAAAGTTCTTCTTTCGTTGCTTTTGCCGATAACGCGCAAACATCTCCAGTGCTAAATCGCTTTCTCGGAACACAATCTTCTGATTTGCTTGAGACACGACTTTCGGATTTTGTTTCTAAGCTTCACAGCTACCAGCAGAGTTGGGAGGGCGAGGGAAAACGTCAATGTCCCGGTCCTCAAGACCAAGAAGGGTTAGGGGATCAGGACTCGATGTCGCAGAGGCCTTCTGCGTCTCGTCCTGCATCTCGCTCACCATCACAAAGTCAAAAGATTACTCTCCCACCAGTACAGGTGCGAGATGATCCTCGACATGGAGGGCGACAAGCAGACAGACAAACAGAGCAGGACAACCGAGGTTTGCAACAGCTTCGTCATACATTACCATCCCCTTCATCGCGGACTCTTCACTCTGCATCAACTGGCGAGGACTGGAGGTCCTTTGGACCATCCCGCGATCTTGGTGTACATTCAATTTTGAACCCGACAGAACCTGAAAGCGCATCAGATTCCATTCGCCGACTGAGTGTTAGCACTACAGACTCACCACTCTCTACTACAACCAGGCCAACTTCACATTTTGGCGCAAGCCCTTTGGTGGCAACTACTCATCCTTACCCCAATCGCCCCCCCATTAGCACTTCGCCTTCATTAGATAGTTTTAATCCAAATTTCCCAAGGGGCCCAGCCCGCAGAATGCTAACCCCCAGATCACCTCGACCTGCTAGTATAGGTAGAGCACCGGCTCACGGGACTATCAATGCACAAGAGTCTCCCTTTCTACCCTCCAGAAGGCCAGAGCTAGGGCAAACTCCCATTTCAGAGATCCCCTCTATACCGACGCCGCCCGGGCAAATTCAGACTCAGCATTATGGATTTCCTCCCACAGGTACAACGCCTGTTGATCGACGTGCAGATACTTCTCAGATGCAAGCTCCAGGACGTGGAAAACATAGCGCTAGTCCTAGCATCTCAGCATCTTCTCAAACGCCGAGCCAGACTTCTCCCGCGTCCGGTTATCCTTATCATCAGAGTGGACAGAATCCGCAGACAAGTGGGTCTTATTTTCCAGGTTCGAGTTTTGGTTCTTCAGTACAGCAAGGGAGTGGATTACAATTACAAGCACCGCCTGCGGCATCAGAAGGTCCGTACACTGCTTCTCAGATTGGCTCCTCACTCCACTCCAATACAAGCTCAAGGCAGGCTTCTGCCTCAGAGCCCTACGGTGTCCTGACAATAACCACGGCCCACGGCGTGGCTTATCATGTACCCGTGGACACGCACCAAGCATCGCGTTTAGCTGACGAGAAGCGTGCGCGCAACGCAGGAGCATCCGCCCGTTTTCGACAACGCAGAAAGGAAAAGGAGAAGGAGGCTTCATCCAACATCGAAAAACTTCAATCACAAACTAGAGATTTGGAACGAAGAGTGAGAGATGCCGAAGGAGAGAGGGATTTTTACCGAGGAGAGAGGGACCGATTCCGGGACATGTTGCTTCGAAACCCTGGAACAAGAGATATGGCTCTTCATGGGCCGCCGAGTCCTCGTCCCATAAGGCCAATGTCTTATCCCGGTCCTCCTCCACCTAGCGGACCGCCAATGAGCTTCCAAGGTCCTGATAGCGGTGAGAGACCACCAAGGCGTCGAAGAACTGATGCACAGGGTGACTTTATGAATGTCTCATACTCGCACTCTCCAGCGTCAACTCTAGCACCCGTCCAAACTGGCTTTCCATCTTCCCATGGTCAAGGACCACCTAGCCTACCACCTCTACGAATCGATAATCCTTTAACAGGCTCAACTACAGGAGTATCGACTCCATCGATATCGGCCGGCCCCCCTTCATTCGATTCGTATTCGCGAGGGCCATACGACCGAGCATGGCCCAAACAAGAAAGTGGCGGACGAAGATAATTTTACTTTCTCTCGATATTACTATAATATGTTTGATGGAAAAAACAGCACATCAACGTTTTTTCCAATCGTTCAAACTTCACGTTTTTACTTTCAATATTAATACGTTTTCTCCAGATATACAAAGCGATCACTTCTATAAAATCTACTTATATGATAGTCACCTTCAACATGTATATCTTCACCATTTCACACGACACTCCACTATACATATCTATCGCAAGATTTCCGCAAAAAAGAATTGCATAGCCTCGGGCGACCGAACCTTCCTATTTTGCTTTTATCATCCTCTTATATTAATTATACCCCCCTGGCGACTGATTCTGTTGCTTACCTTCTTTTGTTTCTTTTGTAAATGCGAGACGTTTCTTTTCTGACCGGAGAATGTGTATACCCTGTGGAATTGTTCGAAACATCATTTATTTGTGTTACCGTTTTTAGTTGGGAACTAGCAGGAGTCGTGTTAATTTGGAAGTGTTATTTTATTTGTTTGGGTAGTATGGGGATGCCCCTAGACACGAGCAGGGAACTATCTGGTTGGAGGATTTTAAAGTATATGAACACATATACATAATATTTCGCGGAAGCGAACAAGGAGGCAAAATTGGGGTCTCGGGCATATAAGAAAGGAGGGATGGGAGGAAGAAGGCTGTATTAGAAGACAATGGGGTTGTGTGAGGTTGGATTATCGTATACAAAAATCATCAGACTGTACAAAGATATTGTGTATAACTTCAAGTTTATGATGCCTTTGTCAAGGAGGAATTAAGGGGACAGCCTTTATTTGGCCTATAGGCAGGCAGTTGTAATATTACTGCCATAATTTATATCATCTTTACTTCGCATCTTTGACCCTTTTCACGTTGTGCATATATATGAGGTCGGCGAGAGGCGTACTTACATGCAATGCAGCAAGGAGTACCCGAGGTGTAAAGGTCTCACTCCAGAAGTTCTTTTCCGTAGCGCCGGAAAACCCCATTTAACGAATATCATATATGTCATAATTATCATCACTTTTTGATATCCGATAAATGTTTGAATACTGCACAGAAACTTCTGGATTAGATAACAATAACGGCGATTAATACCAGAATTATAATGCTACGGGGAACCTAAGTAGGAAGGTCCAACCCCCACTACTCGAGTACCGTACAGTAGATAATTGTCATCAATTGGCCTTATCTTTTTATCCCACCAAGCACCAAGCACCAAGCTGCTGCAACATTGACAAACCAAGCAAACAATCAATCAATCAATTAGATACAAGCCCCGCACTTGCACAACCTATGGTGACTTTAGTAGAGAAGCTTTGTATATCTTCTTATTCAATGAATTCCTCCTTCAGATGTTCAAAGTTATTCCTTCTCTGCAATCATATCTGCGCTGTACAGCATCTCGAAGATTCACCTCACGTTCATCTAATACAGCTCCTCAAGTGAAGACTGAATTTTCTCCGAGAACCTCAAGCCTTTCATCACAACGTTACCACAGATCCTTCAGCAGTACATTTGCCAAGATGTCTGATCTCACTGTTGAACTTACTGCCCCCAATGGCAAGAAATACACTCAGCCAACTGGACTATTCATCAATAATGAATGGGTGAAAAGTAGCACTGGCCAAAAGATCACATCTATCAATCCTTCGTATATTACACCAACTCGGCATGTTACGACTCTGCTAACTTAATGATCAGAGATGAATCAGAGATTGCATCAGTATATGCTGCCTCCGCAGAAGATGTCGATACCGCAGTCAAAGCAGCTCGCGCAGCAATGCGAAACCCCGAATGGCGCGATATGTCCCCAACCGATCGCGGTTCCCTCATGATTAAACTATCCACGATCATTTCCGAACACACCGATATCCTCGCGACAATTGAGACTTGGGACAATGGAAAGATTTTTGGCGATGCTCTTGGTGATGTTGCAGAGGTCGAAGCTGTGTTCAAATACTATGGAGGATATGCCGATAAAATACATGGACAAGTGATAGATACTGGCATTGCGAAATTCGCATACACAATCAAGGAACCAGTGGGAGTATGTGGCCAAATCATCCCATGGAATTATCCATTAGGTATGGCTGCATGGAAGTTAGGTCCCGCTTTGGCTTGTGGTAATGCTGTGGTGATTAAAGCTGCAGAGCAAACTCCATTGAGCATTCTTTATTTCGCAAATTTGATCAAGGAAGCGGGATTTCCACCAGGTGTGGTCAATATTTTAAATGGGTATGGTAGAGAAGCGGGAGCTGCAATCGCAACGCATCAAGATATTGATAAAGTGGCCTTCACCGGTAGTACTGGTACAGGCAAGGAGATTATGAAGATGGCTGCTGGTACCATGAAGAATATCACTTTAGAGACGGGAGGAAAGTCACCTTTGATAGTTTTCGAGGATGCAGATCTCGATCAGGCTGTCAAATGGGCGCATTTAGGTACGTTTTTATTCCGAAAACCGCATGCTGTGTCACGTTCTTTTCTTCTGTAACACAATCCTTCGAATCTCCCATTTGCTAATCCTTCCTAGGTATCATGTCGAACCAAGGTCAAATCTGTACCGCCACGTCTAGAATCCTTGTACAGGATTCCATTTACGATAAGTTTATCGACGCCTTCAAGAAACAAGTCAAAGAAGTTTCCGTTGTTGGTGATCCATTCGCTGAAACCACATTCCAAGGCCCTCAAGTTACTAAAGCTCAATACGAACGTGTACTAGGTTACGTTCAGACAGGTAAGGATGAAGGCGCCACCCTCATCTCAGGAGGTGAAGCTTTCACAAACGCCCATCCTTCGGGCAAGGGATTTTTCATTACCCCCACTGTCTTCACAGATGTCACGCCCAACATGAAGATTTACCGCGAAGAAGTTTTCGGGCCATTCTGTGTTATTGCTAGCTTCAAGACAGAGGATGAAGCAGTGGAAATGGCAAATGATACGACATATGGTCTTGGTAGCGCAATTTTCACAACGAATTTGGAGAGAGCACATAAGCTTGCAAGGAGAATCGAGGCGGGAATGGTTTGGATTAATAGTAGCCAAGACTCTGATTTCAGGATACCTTTTGGTGGTGTTAAGCAAAGTGGCATTGGTAGGGAACTTGGAGAGGAGGGACTTAGAGGTTATTCTCAGGTCAAGGCCATACATGTTAATTTAGGTACCAAGCTATGAACTGTTAGGACAGGAAGCAATACAAATTTTAGTGGCATTAGTTGCTCCTTATTTAATAATTACCTACCTCACTCCTCCTGCAATACATGAGTCCTTTGTGTAATTTGACTTTGAAACTTCTATCTCTTGTCAATGTCAACCAAAACCAAGGAAGATACTCATGCTTGCGTTCATCGTCTGTTTGTAGAAATGCTGAGCGTAGTGAATAACAGATATGCCTTTTCCTGTTTTATTTTGGATTCTAACTTGAATTCCTATACGCAATATAAACAGTGATTACATTTTAGTTTCTGTATCTATCAACATCAAACATGACAGAGTCAAACCTCTTTCTTTGAAGGAACTTGTTGACCTATTGATCTTAGTCTTGTTTATAACCTCTAGTGCAATTGGGAAAGAAAAGGGAGAGGAGACTCAAATTTTTTGAATCAAACTTACTAACTTAAAGCCCGGAAACGATAGAAAGAAATGATATGGATATGGATTGTTTGACGGGGATATGAATATCAATATATAGTAGTGGGAATAGTGGGAAGAGTGGGAAGAGTGGGAAAGCGGAAGGTGGAAAGTGGAAAGTGAGTGTTGGAGGGGGAGTGGGAGTATGAGCGGTAGTATGAGTAGGAGTAAGAGTAGGAGTAGGAGTAGTAGAAGGATCAGGAGTGTGAGGGGAGTGAGGAGGGGGGTGAGCGGGTGGGTGAGGGGCTTGATGATATGATATGGTGGTTAGGTTTTGAGAGAATAGTTGGTCTGGAATGTTCAGTCTGGGTAGGTAATCATGGGATATCTTATTGCTTTTGCGAATCAAAGTAGGACTACTGTAGATTATCTGTTGATGAGCATGGTTTAGTATTGTTCCAGTTTGTTTGATACAAGTATAAACTTCAAAGCCGGAGCCTTCGATCGCACTTTTCTTCCCATTCGTATTCATCCATCCAAAGTTAGTTGCTTTGAGCCTTGCGGACTTGCTTTTCCTCCTACAATTTCCATTGATAATGGAGCTACTAGAACTACATCGCTTCTTTATCTATTCACTGATTTTGGGTTGGAGTCATCATGAAGATGAGAAGTGTGAATTAAGTAATTTAATTCATGGTCAAACTTGCAGAGAATCGGAGAAGGGAGGAACAACTTGAAAGGGGCCATTTAGCTTTATTTATAAAGCTTATTCGGAACAGACGGCTCTCTTCCGTCCACTAGCTTATAGATCATACAGAATTTGATCCGCTTTACGAATATAAAGCGTATTTTGCTTTATTTATATATATTATTATAATGCTTAATTGCTTTGTATAAATCGCCCAACCCTACTGTACATTGATCGTAGAAGAAACAAGCATTCGTTCGAAAGTGGGAGGATCTTTCACAATACGATATGGAACATTGGAATTGTCGAAATGCCTCACTTGCAGTCTGCAGTTAACTCATGCCGCCAGAAAGTCCGCAACTCGGGTAAGCTAGCACGTGCCACACAGTGGTAAACTACAACAGGAATAGCCTAGTTTTTAACTTCCCGAGTTGCAAACTTTCTGGCAGTATGAGACTATGAGTACTGTAGGCGCACTAAGGATTTACCTGCAGATACGAGAAAAAGCTTGGCTCGAACTTAAATGGTTCAATTGGTCCGCGCCGTTTCGGCACTTTCACTTTATTCCGTTGAGCGCCAAGAGATAGGGAGGAACGAGGAAAGAGGAAAGGTAGGGATGGTAGTGTAGTGGGGCGGGGTGGGGAGGAATACCGGAGGGATTGGTGGAAGTTGGAATGGTGTGGAAGTGTAATGATTAAAGTCTAGACGTACTATTAGATGAGTACTGTAGTAAGTCGAGATCGAGTTTGTGGACGGCACGGCACGGCAGGGGTATGTGGCTCGGGAGTGATGTGATGTGATGGATGGATGGATGTATGGATGCGATACGATATGTCCGGATTCCGGAGGGAGCTGTGATGAGAATGGAGGAGAAAGGGGCATTTCATTTGGTGGCCCCGCTCTTGGCATTATCACTGCATGCCCAGATAGATGTCGTGACTTTGGCGTCACATTAATATAAGGCCTGCATGTGATTTGAAGGTTCAGTTTTACTTTGCTCCATTCTCTCGGTAGAAAGTTGCCCTTGATAAGCTAATCAGTATCTTGAGTTGAGGTGGAGCGATTTCGATCCATCATAAGATTCATAACCTTATTACTCTCGGGTCTAGTGTCTTGTTGTGGCTGGCTCGAGCGCTTGATATGCGGCATGGTCCACATATACTATCGACAATCTTTCGCTGGCATTCTTCAAGTTGGAGAATGCAGATCGGGTTGTCCTCTAGGTATTCTATATCTTTACGTCCGCTTCACGATACCCGAACCTCGGTCTGAAGTTGTGGATTGTCTACTCGTGTAGAACGTTTCTGATATTCAGATATTGGTATGACGAGTGACTTGGAGCGCATATACAATCTCTCTCGGGATACCCACAAAATTATCATGTTTTTAAATGGGGCACCTAAAGTCTAAATGGCCTCGATATGATGTGAAGTCACACTGTTATTGTATCGTAATTGGGGGAACGTTAAACTTGAGATATTGGGTGATAGCCATATTCAATGAGTGACAATATGTACTCAAGAACCATACTGCATCGAGCGAATAGCCTCATTTATATCCCAATCATAGAAATCGGGACTGTAGATACATGTAGATGCTTCAGTCGAGTGACGAAACTTGAGGCCAGTATGAATTCCATAGATAACTGGACAGCCTACATCATACATAAGACATTAGGAACTGTCTCGCACAAAATGTGGCAACAACCTTAGCTTTTGGGCAAGGTCTTCCATTACATTTGTCAAGATGAAAGTTTTTTGGAGAAATCTTATTCGGAAGAGGGGGGGTTTTGACGAATTCTAGTGGTACTGTTTTACAAAATTTATTACTCAAGACTTTACCTACCCATTCCTTTCCAAATGTCATAAGTCCTTCATATAGTGAGACTTTGAACTTTTCTTTTCCTCTTTCTGGCGTCGACAAATTTCGAGAAAGTTTTTTGCATTATTTATAAAGCATAATGCAAAAATGCCCCAACCCTAATGTACAGTACATAAATATTCTTAATTCTTTCAGCGTTTCATCCCATTCTTTTCGGAGCCGATGTTATGGGGGATGGGATATGCATATTATATGCACATCAATATAATTGATACAGAGGAGAATTTCTAGCTTGGGATTTGTGCGTTTTTTGGAATTGAAATATGAGTTTGTTGCAAGGTGTATGTATGTATGCATATACGTATGTACGTATATGCATGATGATCCTTGAAGTATGAAAATAAGTTGAATATCTAGATGACGTGGAATTATGATAGCTGATAAGTTTTTGTATAGAAGAGATATCTCGGTATGCTAGATATGTGTATGCTAGATATGCTATAGATATCAAGCCTCCCTATGAGCAATGAATTAAAGCATTCATTAACCCAAACGATATCAATCATTGCAGCGAAATTTCCATAAACTTTCATTTCTGTGACATGATTCCTAAGACATGAGATACAACATGAATATAACATAACTGAGGAGGCATCATTCATTTTCCGCAACCGTGACGCCCGCTACCAACCTAATTTTCTTTCCCCCATCCCATCATCATCATCATCATCATCATCATCATCAACACCGATCTTTTCCGCCGCCGACCACACACTCCATAATCTAAAGTCTCCCTCGAGAAAATAGAAGGTAATAATAAATCCAATTCCCACCATCTTGCTGCACGAAGGATAAGGGTCGTAAGTACAAAAACATGAAAAGGAAAAAAGCCCACGCAACACCGGTAATATGAAAAACGTGGTATATATATGATACGAACGACAATGTATGTTATCGTAGCAAGATTGAAACAGTAAGCAGTCATCAGATCATAACCCCCAAATCTCACAAGCCAACACCCCTACCAAATTGACAACTCAAACCATGATCCACTCGCCCTCCACTCCCTCCATATGTTTAGTCCATTTGAAAGGTCCCCCTTGACTCCTCATCCCATCTGGAGATGCTCGTCCATCTTTCCCCTCCGCCCACATCTTCTCTAATACCTCTAACCCCGCCAAATTATTAAGATACCCCGACCTCCCCATAATCTCCCTACACTTGCTCCTTACAATACTCTGTTGCAACTCATTTACACACTCACTCCCACTGATGAAAAGTGGCCATAACAAAAACTTCTCGCATCCACTGTTAGTCTCCAGACTCGTAACATAAAACAAGACCTGGCTGACCAAATTCTGAAAATTCAGATGCGAGCTAGGTGTTTTGGGACAAGCGAGGCGCTCGGTATATAGGAGGGCTGAGTAGCGGAATGCTTCAGATATATATCCAAAATCGCGAAGTTGTGTTGGGGTGGGGGTGACTGGGAGTGAGGAGACGATGTGAGAGGGGGAAAACTCCCATTCTTGGAGCGCGAGGCGCGCGGCTTTCCATTCAGTCCAGAAAGTGGCGCGGGCATCGTCGCCGGACATATAGGTTAGTGCGGATGAAGTTGGAGAGCAGGATGTGGGAGAGAGAGGTGCGAGGTTTTGGAGAGGAAAGGCAGGTTCATCGTCGAAAGACATGGTTGAGGCGAAGCCATTGCCATCAAAGGACATGGAATGAAGGTTGTAGAAGTCGACGAGGGCTTGACCTTCTAGACGAGGTCGATGGAAGCCGGATGTGTGGTGCATATGATTTGGTTGAGGGGGACTGGGGATAGAATCATTCATGACAGGACGATGTTGGGACAGTAAATTTAGACGTCCGAGTTTAGCGATCGTTTTGAAGAGAATGGCGTCGCAGCCTGCCATGTTTTCAAGTGCGTGATTGGAGTTGGAGGGATTAGCTAGCATTTCAATGTATCCACCTTGGAGCTGGGATTCACGATCATTGATTGAAGCGGCAATACCGTCAAAATATGTGAAGAGAGACTCCATCCATCCCCAATTACCGGTCTCGGTTCCGCATTCCCGCATTCCAAGTATCTTTTTGACGCCGGCAAATTGGGTACGGAATTGAGCAACGCCAGATTCGCACATGCGGTAATGGCACAGGATAAAGAGGGTGGCGAGGACACAGTCGTGGCGGGCTTTTGAGGGGTCGCTTAATTGTTGATTGAGTAAGGAGACGGCGAGAGAGCGATGCTGATATTCCTCTTGCAGTGATGCGTCGGTACTCGAGGAGTCGGTCACAGTTGTTTGAGTAGAGGCTCTTCTGGCGCAGGCTGGTCGACCAATAGAGCCACCATTGATACGATCTAGAAGTTCGAGTTCAATTGGTTGACGCCAATGATCTTGACCTAGTGACTGCTTTCGCTTCATGCGTAGGTTGCAAGCAGCAAGTGCGCAAATGGCATGTTGGAGACTTTGACTTGAGGAGGCGAGAGCAAGGATATGCTCACGATAGGGGTTGGAGGGGCTGTCGATGACCACTACCGACGGGCAGATGATTTTTTCGTAGTAATCTAAAAAGAATGAGATTCGAGGTGACATTTCAGACATGAGTGAAGATGACATGGAATCATGCCCAGTAATATGATGATAAGTATCTGCTTCCGACGTGGGGGAACCAACATCATCTTCATTGATAGAAGTCCATCCAAAATGACTGGATCTGGTGCCCGTGGCAAACACTTCAGGTTCGCGAGAAGTTTGAATGGCTAGTGAGGAAATAGTTAGCAAGGAGATCTCAATGAACGCTTTGAATAAAAATATTCACCTAACATTTCATCATCATAGAATATCCCATGCGTTGAAGGAGACCCTTGATGAGATCGGTGAGGTTGACGACCTTCTGAAATATCATACATATTTTGATGAGAACTTAAGCTTGAACTCATTTCCGACGGAGCATAAAATTGATCAGGACATGATGTGGGACCACGTGAGTTTCCCATAATATCTGAACTTTGATCCGTTATGGAAGTGTTTCTCGATGAGTAACTGTTGTACATTGGGGCGGGACTGTTGAGAAAGGGAACATCATCATTTTGGAATGATTGATTGATCGGTGATGCATACTCGCTGTCGGGATATGGACTCAAAGAATCCACGGAACTGGAAAGGCCTAACCCTTCTGGTCTCCCGATACTAAGCGTGTGTATCCGATGAAGTTGTGGAGGCAATTGTCTTTGCATCTGGCGTTGTTGGGTATCAGGCTGGTATTTGGGGATTGTGAAGTGGTGAGATGGTGGAGACATATTCCAATCTGACATCTGGGTCTGAGTAGTCGTTGAAGTATTTCCATGAGGTGCCATATTGACAAAATTATATGTCATGAATGGACTAATAGGCACAGAAGAACCTGGATTCTCCAACTTAACTCGAACGCCGTCTCCATTTCTGTCTAAGGATCTTGCAATTGTGGAAGCAGCTCGAGGACGAGTGATGGGTGGACTTTTGGGAGCAGGAGGAGATTTCGCCACAGGGAGGGATAGACCTCGAAGTTTTCCTCGACTTGCCACTCCCACACCCCAGGTTAATTGGGTTTTGTAGCCTGAGCACTCATTTCCTACTTCCAGGCATGGTGAACAGTATGGTCTTCTTCGGTCACATTTGACGTTACGTTTGGTACAAGCGAAACAATCGTCCGAAGCACCGCTGGCTGGAGCTCTCCTGCGTCGCTTGCGTTGGGCAACTGTTGGCGGGTCCGACAAAGCAGAGGAAGGAGGACATGCTACAGGGAGAGTCATTTTGGATGGAAGTTATGAGGTAAAAGTTTGATGTTTTATTGACAAAAAACATGCAAGTCCATTAAGGTATAGTATAATGTAGCCAAGTGAACGAAATAAGAATGTGGAGAAAAGCCGTTGGCTGAAGCTTGGGGTTGCAATATTTGGAAACTCATGGTGGGCATGACAATCAGTTATGAGGAGCAAACCGAGCTAGACGATGGATAACCCCTAGACAGTAGGTCCGCCCCGGCGCACATTCAAGTAACCGGTGGGGATCAGCACTGTGATTTTGCAAGGGGGGAAGGGGAAATATTAAAAGCTTGTGATGTAGGGTAGGGTGGGCAGGGTATTGAAGTGGGAATAGCAGGCTGTCCTAGGAACCGGAGACCATTTTGAACTGACACCTCCGAATGATTTAAACTATAATTCGACTAATCAGAAATTATCAACTGTCGGCAGAGGAAGCACAACGTAGCCTTCCATGCAGAATAATTGCTTCTTTTGCTTACTATAAATACAACATTGTATTAATATCATTTTTATCCTTTGGCTTGTGGAAGGAAGTCTTGGTCTGGGAAACACAAGATTGGAGGAAATTTGAATTATTTTGAGGATTTTGACCTAGATTGGTCCACTTTTATAGATGTGAATCTCTTGAAGAGGCTTGGGATCGTGAGCTTCTTGTGAATAAGCTTAATATGTCTCAATCCACTGAGCATCCACAAGCAATCCACTGAGGTATATCTGTTGATATTCTGTGCCGTGCCGTAGATGGTTGATCTGAAAGCCGGGGTGATATTTCGCCATTATTGCGGAAGCTATCTCAAGAAGTGCCAGCAGACTCATACAACGACCGGGTTCTAAGCTATGATTAGTTCTAGCAGTTTTTCATATATTTGGTCTGTCATAAATCCCATCTCGCTAGTATGATCTCCTACGAGTTATTGGATGAGAGAAGTTTGCAAATGATAGGTACAGATATGGGCTTAAAATAGGTGGGTGTGGAATTTCGGAGATGAGAGGTGACTGGTAAGGTTAATTGTCGACAAGCCACTGGCGTCAATTAATCAACTAGTGATCGCATTGGTGGGAAGGCAAATGGTTGCTCTGTTTCTCCCCTGGCTGCTCGGTACTGCCGTATACATGCTTGAATTATCTGCCCGGCCGTTGATGATATTTAGTTTTTTTTAGCTCTGTTTTACTTGCGTCTTGGAAAGAATCGACATCCCGCGCCGGTATATCGAAATTTGCATTATGACGAGATTGTTAGTGTGACAATACAAGATCTATCGGGACTTTCATCCAGGATTGTTGAGACGATGAAGGTGATGGGGAGGGAAATTTGCATAACTAGATACTCAACTTCCAACCCCTGTTTGACGCAATGTGCGATCAGGGCACAAAGCGTTTGATTACAACCGATAAGAATGCGAATAGATAAGAGGGACTTATGCTATTTGCATCCGAATGCAGGAGAGGGTCGTACTGACAAAACCTAATGAGGGGTATCGTATATTTTCATGTCTGAAGATTTTACCACCGTGGGTCTTGATGGGGTTGGGTAGCAAGCTAGCATATGATTCGTTGATTGCCCGCACATTTCGAACTTCTTTTATATTCTCCAGCGGGAGCTCGAAGACGCAAAACTCCAAGAAAATGAGAGAATCGTTGAGAGGGTCGAATCGAATCTAGTCGCAAGAGCGAGTTTGATTTTAGTTCAACCGCATGTATGGCAGTTGAATATTCCCCCCAGAAATATCTACAAAAAGATATCAACTTCTCCGAACCACTCATATCAATCATACACCATATTTTATGCGTCTGGCCGTCCACTAGCCTTCATTTCGGACCACCTTACACTAGGAACCCCCCTCATGATCTTCATTTCCTTTCACAAACCCCTCTGGAGTTTGGATGAATGCTAATAAAAACTCGATGATAAGAATAGTCAATCTTTCTGACAAACCGAATACATGCACATGACCATTGGTTAAGGGTCTAATCTACTCGGAGAAAATTGCAGATCTATCAAACACACAGGCAGGACCTTGAATGAAAGGAAATCCTTGATGACTATCAACAAATTTAAGGAGAGGGGTTGCCGTATTTCCGTTCGATTCCCATCTTTCTTTCCCTTTGCAGTTTCCCACTACAACACAAATTAGACAATAATAGCTGCATAAAATAAAACTAATTCTGGGTGGCTGTTCCCCAGGTCTATTCGGCAAATCAGAGACCGAGCACAGCTATTAAGCCCTTTAATCCTTGTAAAGCCTCTCTCTTAACGATGGCGCTATCTGATAGTACTGTAGTGGATATAAGCTAGAAGGTTTCGAAAGATGCATAGAAGGAATTCGCGCCACGATGGAATTCCCCGAATAACGATGAAAAGCAGTATTATCATACAAAAGGTATAGCTAAAATGGAATCCACGGCGCTCTTCCAATCGGCTCACCTATATATTTTGACAAATCCGTGCCTACATGAGATCCGTTTTTCTTCCGATAACAGGCTTTAGATGCCTCGGTATGGCTTTTTAGGCCGCCTGGAGTGGGAGAAACCAGCGGAGGGATACATCAATCTTTGGTCACTTTGTTTTCTATTCAAAACTTTTCGGTTCTTTCTTCCATCCTAATCGCGAGTTATAAGGTAAGGAACGAGCCGTTCAGCCTTCTGTTCTCGTTATTCAGATATGACTGGCCCGACCGTATCTCCCAAATCACTATTAGTGGCTGTATTATCATCTAGCCTCGAACTATCTCAGGTACGAATAAAAGTTTAAAGACACCTCTCCGCGATCTACCGGAGTAAATACATAAATTTTTCCGCGGGCGGGCAATTTGTACCAATGTGGTTCGCAGGCACATGTTAAATAAGTGCAACTGTTTAGAAGGCCCGCGGAGCACGGCACAATAGTGATGATAATGATAACGTAGTCATGTCGGTAAGGAAAGGGTAGGAATCCATGACAAGGAACGATTAACAATAGAATTAGAACCTAATTGCCAAAAAGTCCTTTCGATTTTGCAAGGCCTGTCGAGTTCTGGTTTATTTGCTGTTGCTGTTTCTGTTGTCCTATCTCGGTAGCGATGTCAGAACTGGGTAATATCCCCGATACGCTATCGTTCCTAATGTCTCAGATATGCCAACCTTTTCTTAACGCAAGGTTCTACAATGGGCCTGTACACAATCAATTTCTCAGTAGCTCGACGGACCTGGCCTAAAGTTGCTCTACAGACATAGATGAATATTGGTGAAGCAAATCATAATGATACCGTTGTCTTCATTATGATTTTTGCGCAGCTACTCTGAAGACGCAGAAATGTAGAGGATCAAGAAGAATTTACGGGAACAGAATCCTATTGCTAGCCCCTCATCGCGCTCTCCGTTACCGAACCTCACCGTATTCTCCGAAATCCTTTTGCAGTTAGCATCTCACAGTTGATTGGTTATGGATTTCGCACGAGATTTCTTCTACTTCTCAAGTCACTTGTCAAGCGAAAAATCTTCTGATAGAACGTTACCTAGGTGCGCTGGGATTGGCTGTTGATCCTTTTAGGACTTCGCCTCTTTTCATCTCCCCTTCATTGACAATCATGTAAAGTAAAATCAAAAGGCTGAAGTAAAGAGAAGAGGGAAAAGTAACTAGCTGGGGGTACTACGAAGTGCACAGAATCTACCCGTCCTTGTAGCAAGACACCTAATAGCCCTCAATTTCGGACATTAATGATCATTGTAGGAGCGACATACTACTGTCAAGTATGAACATCGAGACAAAATCCTAAAATTTATCCACAGGTGAATGGCATAAGTATGACGGAGATGAAGCTCGGAAAAGAGGCCATTCTCGTGTAGATTGTATAGATCATAATGCGAACAATAATGCCTGATAAGTATCTAATACCGGTACCGGTATTTACGTCGTGGGTATAGAGGTGGGGGTTCTTTCGTGATGACTTTCCCTTAGACAAGTATTGGGCAAGGGGAAGCAATGCAATCAATGTATGTACCCTCGTTCAATTATGGCTAGATACAAGTATAGGGGCCCACTCGGGATGAAGATATTTACATGTGAAAATGTGTGATTGTGAGTTGCTTAATCGCGATGCAAGTACGTATATATTAAGACACTACTTATAAGTCTCTCTTGTCAAAGATTAGATGGAGATAATGAAGATATACCTGATAACGGGAAGTACGAAGATTAACAGGGAGATAAGAGTCACGCTTTTTGAGAGTCACGAGACGTTAACGATCAATCTAGTCATGTGATGATAAGCTAGCTGATAAGGCTAGCTTCGAATTTTTTTAATTTGAAGATTTTCGAAGTGAGAGTTCGTGAATGCGAAAACACTAACAAACCAATTCCATCCCACCACTTCGTACATCATCTACTATCATAGAAAATGGGTCGCGAACTGCAAAAGAAGAAGAATAGATCTGGAAATTCTAAGATCAAGCTCAAGCCAAAGTCCAAGCGTATTAATCCATTGGGCAATGCAATTATCGCCGCAAACTGGTAATTTTCTCTCCATGGCTTTATGCGTTTGCAATTGATGCTAATCACTTATTACAGGAGACAAGATGAAACCCTCACACAGAATTATCGCCGTCTCGGTCTAACCAGTCGTCTCAATACCGTTACCGGTGGTATCGAAAAGAAACAAGCGGGACCCGAATCAAAAACCTCCACTACAAGCAAACTCTCCATTTCAAACACAATTCCGAAGACTTTCACCCCAACCGAAGCACGGGTAGTAAGAGATCCCGAGACCGGAAAGATCATAAGAGTTATCCATGATAACAAGAAGGAAAATCCATTGAATGACCCTCTGAACTCAGATGACGAGGATGGAGAAGGATTCGAGGGTTTCGGTAACGAGGGATCCGCGTCAGGGAACGATATTGTGAAGATGTTGGAGGAACAAGCATCCAGAGCGGGCGAGAAAAGGGAGAGGAAACAGAGCGAAAGGGAGAAGGAATGGATTGAAAACTTGGTGAAGAAATGGGGGGAGAACTACGGATCGATGGTTAGGGATAGAAGATTGAACCCTATGCAACAGACGGAGGCGGATATCAGACGACGAGTTCAGAAGTGGAAGGAGGCTGGCGGTGCTGTTATTATCGAAGCGTGAGTTTCTTTGATAGGGGTTCGATGATCCATATCGACATGGTGTTTGGCGTTTGTGGGGGATATAACCATGCAGAGGGGTAATAAAAGTCACATCAAGTTCAAAGAGCCAGCTGCTCTCTTGAAGTCAAGAATCGCGCAGTTTTTCGTCTTGTCACATTTAACTTCATTTGTGATTTTGGCCATGTACCGTTATGTGATACAATCTCAAACTCTCTGATAGTCCTATTTTCCTGACTTCCGACGACTGTCAGGCTTGGGTTTTAGAAATATTCTCTGTCATAGAAGAACGTTCGTCTCCATCATTCTATGGGTTTCGAGTTGTTCTATAAATGGAAGTGAATGAGTATAAATGGGAAGGCAGATAAAGACAAGTGTATTGTTTGAAAAAGTATGAAGTTTTAGTCAATTAGAACTCGTGGTTTTACAGAACGATTCTGAAATATGATTGATATAATAGAGGAAGTGGGATTGCAATACATCAGGATGAGATTCTTCCTATTAGACGGAGGTACAGATGAATTGGCTAATTGACAAGTGTTTAGCCTGGGCTTATCTCTGAGAGGGAAATCATGTTGGGGATGATGGGAAGATGGAGAATGTAAAATATACAAGGGTGCCCTGGGGCTGGGAGGGCAGGAGGGGGGTGCCACCCACCCTTTTGTATGAGTGGTAGTAGTGTAGTAATAGTACTCGCTTCTTCGAATGGTTGGAGAATTGGTAATCTCCATTGAGTTTCTTTTCGCACCGGATGGGAAGTAAACGAAGGTAAGGTAAAACTTACACAATTATAAGTCATTGACGCTATTAATATAGGTGGTTAGAAACTCCTCGTTTGAGGAACTCTGCAAGCTGATTGATGCTACGAATGCAATGCGTGATTTAACGCCAAGTGAAGGCCTCTTTAAAGTTTCGTCTTTGGGCTCTCAATGAGTCCTCTACTTGTGAGTCTTACTACCTAGGTATGCCATGTGGAATTGCGCAGCGCATCTTATTGGTTGTTTATACTCTTGTCAAGTTTATGTCTTATTCCTTGTATCAAGGGCTTGTTTTATTCTCATCTTGGTTTGTATAACTATTGTCTTGAGTCTGTCTTGTGTGTGTTGTGTCTTGGATCGCGTAGCGTCTATCTCTTTGCGCATTTTGTGTTGTGCATCGCAATCATATACCGTTGCACGCCTTCTTTACTTTCAAATTCCAAGTCTGGGAAGTACTCACTGGGTAGGTGCTTGAAATTTGACATGCTGTTTTGATACACAACGTTAACCCACAGGATATTGACCCGATATAACATGACCGCATTTTGAATATCAAATTCTTCATTTCACAACTATCTATTCTTCGTTCCCAACTGGAAGTTTACTATACCCCAAATTAGAAAATATCCGTTTCGAATCATTCCTTCTCCAAAACTCCAACATTCCAAATGCAAATCCAGCTATTGCTATTAAGTCCAATGCGGATCTTGATGGCATTAATGGCTTTTCAGCCTCCGTTTCTACTTCGATCACTTCTTCCGTATCGGGTGCATCGACCTAGGAGGTTAGAGTTAGTAAGCGGTCCGAAAGAGAAAGTTCAATAGAAAACAACATACCGTATCCTCACAATCCGTACCAGTTGCTCAAACCTCAGTGCTAGTCTCCAAAACCCCACCCTTCCCATCCACGGCAACAACCCTCACCCAACACCAAGCACTCCTCTGAAATGAAATCTCCATCTCAAACCCTCTTCTCAACCTCAACAATCACCTGAAAATCTTCAACTCCCTCTCCACTCTCACCTCTCAATCCCTTTAAAACCCAACCTTACCTTCCATACATATCAAAGACAGAAGAAGTCACCAGTACAAAACAGCCACCACGACTCTCATCTTTTTGTCCTGCAAAATCAACTACGGTCCTGTACCTTACGACGCCGCTGACGCGAAAGTTGTAAGAAGCCATTTTGCAACGCCAAGCACAAATCACCGCTTCCAAATGTATGAGTTGATTGTATAGAAGGAAGAAATGGAATGGGAAAATTTTGGACGTTTAAGATTAACGCGCGTATGTGGAGTGCGTGGAGGGATGCGCCAGCGATGTGGGCGGAGGGGGTTGGTTTTGATGAGGGAGAGAATCACAGTTGGAGTGTTCTGTATTACTGTATAGGTTTTTTTGTATCATGGTTTCATGGTGCGATGATTTGGTTTATGAAGTTGGAGATTACTCGAGTACTAGGAATCTATATATTCATCGGATAAATCGGTAAAGGGGCGGAAATAATGCCAAGAAAATAGTCTCAATCTGAGTCATTTCAACACGAAAAAATATCGAATCACGGTTTCCCTCTGCATGATACTTGGCCAAGATATTGAATGCCTCATCTCTTTTATCCTTACTAATGAGATATCGATGACTTTCTGGCAGGAAACTTCAAGTCCCGTTAGCCATATCATGGCAATCTTGAAAACTACTCACAAGAAGAAGATCTGGATAAGTGATGGGCAAGCTTGAAGAAGAGATAGGATTCTCAATCACCAATCAGTATTGATTGTCGCAGTGCGAACAGTAATCCCAGAAGCAACCAAGGATCCTACAGACCAAGATGCATTGAAGAGAGAAGTCATGACCGGTCGTTCTTTGGGGTATGCTAGTTCACCAAGCATGGCTGAGCCGGAGACGATTGCAAACAGAATGCAAAACCCGAGAAACATTCTGGCAATCATATGCATGGCAGCTACCCTCTTCACATGAGTCGACTTTCCAGCCCCATCGACCGTCGTCACCTCACCAAAAACTATATCTCATCAATACCCTTCCAACCAATGCTCTCCGGACACCAAACTCACACTTATTCCAAGAAGGAATAAACTGCAACCCATTAATCATCTGCGAGTCAAACCCCGACGTCATCTCAATCCCCATACACGTCGGATATAGCAAAAAATACAACACTCTCAAATTTCTCTTCCGATACCTTATCATCGTCCACGAGCCTGGTAAGTACTGGATCTGCTTCATGTCCCAAATCGATTAGACCCATTTTCACTTGAAAACAAAACTCAAAATATCCAACATATTCAGGATATTGAAGCCCAAAATAACAATATTCCAGAAAATTCTTGGGGTTCGGCGTTGATGTAATTTGAGGAAGGTGGTATAGACGCGGAGGAAACTAGACGAAAGTTGCATGCGTCCGGTCGTGCAGATAGATATACATTTCAAATCTCCGCTTCATTGATTTCAGGGATTTTTCGACCCCGCGCTGACAGCAATCTTGGCGTCTTGGTCGGCAGTTTCCTGTCGTACAAAACAGTAGCCAAGACGGTGTGCTGGACTGAAAGCTTGTAAGTCGCTGGGTAAATCGTTCGTGGGGGTCATGCGACCGGTATTTGAGTTTGCAGAAAGTACTATATATAAACCTGCATATGGTACGCAGGTGCAGGCAGGTAAGGCGGATATTACTGTAGAAGACTTTGCCCTATGCAGAGGAATTGTATTTTCGTCTGCTTCTATTTTCGTGTCGAAAGCTGAAGGGGTCCTGCAGATAACTTATGCGCTGTAGAGAGCTAATGCATGTCAACTTGGGGGTGGAGATATTCTAGAAGGGTGAAATTCCTTCTGTTTCATTGCATTGTATATGCATTCACGGAACTGACTCGGGTGCTTCGTCCCTCCGGTGCTTCAGTTATTTGAAGGGGCAGCTAGATGTTTTAACATACCGGTATAGTATTTTGTAGTGGTGGTGTTGTAGGCGCTGAAGTGGAACAGGTCATAGAATAGAACAGGGCAGGGTTCTTTCGCTGAAGGCGGCATGGAGAACGAGACATATTGCAGCAGAGGCTACAAAATCAGAAGTGGTGGCTGCAAAGAAGATTTATAATGGGTTGGTAGTGAAGCTTGAGGAGACAGAAAAAAGGCTTTCGACATTTCAGAACGAACATGGGTTGAAGGGGGGCTTAGCTGCTCATGGATGTGATCTCTATAATAGTTAGACAAAGACCGGGACCCGCCGAAGTACGACGGGAGGTAAGAGAAGTAGCACTGGGAGCACTTGAAACAGGAAGAGAAGGAGCACTAGGAATATAAGGAGCAATTACTTTTTGTTTTGGAACAATATTACTTGCTTAATAGTAAATTTAACTTAAATACTCAAAGATTAGTTAATTTCAGAGTGAGGGAGGTCAGCTTTGGGTCGTTTCAAAATATATTTACTTCCTACGACGAGGCATCCCGATATTTGGCAGCCTGGAGTTCTCGGAGACAAAGTCAGCTTCCCTGGTTCCAATCCTCCATATTCTTGACGATGGCCATATCAAAGCAAGTGAAGACGACCATGCGAAAGTACCAGAGTGATGAAGTCTATGAAAATCGCCGGAGAAGAGCGGAGTGGAAAATGGCGTAGAAGCAGGGTCCAATCCTATGATTGCTATATGACAGATGACTGACTGGCTGACGAACATTACCCGCATCGCCTATGATTGGTGAATCAAGTTATGTTCCAAGACTGAGGGGAAAATATAATGAGTAATGGAAACAACACAAATAGATGTTGCACAGAGCACGATTCTTCTAGACACGGCTAGACATTAGTTGTGCTATCGCAATCAAGTCAAGACTTATAAGTTCTAATCATGATCACATAAAGCCAAGTGAGATTGATGAATTTCACTGGTGCTTGTCGCCTCTCACTCTGTCTGTAGACGACAATGCTGAAAGTTCGAAGCGCGTGTGTACAATGGACGACTTCACCGTGACAATCCTTCTTTTCATTCTTCAGCAGCTCCATCATTCCAATACTATGAAATAATTCATCCTGATAGTCCGTCCATCGGTATACTTATTTGCAATGCACCCAAACACAATATTCCGAAGAAAAGTTTCTGGTCGCCAGGAGTTGAATTTCGGTCTGAATTCAAAACTCTACAGAGTCATAACAACATATACAATACATACTGCTCTCTACAAGTCAATATAGCATCTCACACGGCGCTGCCCGAGGTTATCGACCTGGAAAACGCGAATTTCATCAATCCGCAAGCCCCAGAAACATCCTTCAATCTCAAAAACCGTTCTAAGAGAAGATAGCATACCTTCACCAACGAGATGCCACCAGTTTTCAAATTGGGAAATAAAGCAAACACCAACACCCCCAACCCAGCGATGGAGGCTTTCAAAGCCAAACTCGCTGAATACGAATACGCTGAAAGAATTCAGTGTAAGGTTATGATTGGCCTGGTAGACGCAATTGATAGATACGTTGATTTCTTCGCCGCAGGGGATGAACGAACTGCAGTTAGGAAACTGAGCACCAAAATCGTAGAAATTCTTATATATACCATCAACAACGGATCCGATCCATTATCGAGTCCATCATACACACCACCAGCAATAAGAAGTGCAGTTTCTACAAAAACACAAGTTACAAAAACCTATGCAAAAATCCTCAAGATCCTCAAAACAAACCAAAACGGAGCAGGCCGAGAGAACCCACCCACACCTCAAAAAACCTTATCAAAGGCCCCACCCAACAACGTACACACCAAACAACGAGTGACACGAATCGCCCGGAGCACGGATTACAGGCTACTAATAGCTATCAGCCCTGCAGCCCGGATCAGCAGACCAGCCCCATATGTGCTAAGAAACACTCTCGTTAGGGTTATTATGGGCCTAACACTAGCTGATGTCCCCACTATATCTGCCACTAAGACAGGATAGGCTATTATACCAAAGAACCCAGTAACCCACGAACTACTCCTTACACAGGAGAATAAGGAAATCATCCTTCGAATCAGCCGAGACACACAAATGTACCAATCGGTAACGTGATACAACTATGTAGTCCCCGGAGTCCCAGTGTCGATATGCACACTAGATGGACTCCCAGCCGACACTGCGAGTCACGTGAAAGCGGAGGTACAGGCATAGACGGGCTAATCCCCAGTCAGTTGTAGACCCTCCCGACACAAAGCCAACCCCCACAATAACACAATCACATGGGTAGTATCCTTCTTCGAACCAGTCTGCGGTTTTAGACTTTTTAACGCCAGCAAATTGGTACAGGAGATTAAGGCAAAACCTATTATAACCCGACACAACACTGGCTGCCAGGGTTGATATAAACCAACAAGATGCACCAGGCTTACCCACTATACAAACTGTGGTGTTCGAAAAGACACATATGAGGGTCTATAAGGATCCAATTGTATAGCAAAAGCACGATATGTTAACTACTTTGGACCTTTCGCAGCAGGACACCAGAACTGCCCAGCAGTACCTAAGGTAGTGGACAGTAAAGTCACGGCACCTACTAAATTATAACTCAAGGCTATACGAAAACTGGCTCTGGCAATAGAAGCGGCAATGCTCGTTAACCAGAAGTCAAAGGATGACCCTAAGGAAGAGCCTACCCCAGACACAGCCACACCCACACCCACACCTACCCCAACGCTAAAACACCGGAGAGTACAAATCACTGCATACGAAAAAAGCGGGGACAGTCCAATAGCAACCCAATTCAAGAAAGGAATTGCGGTATCAAGCTGACCAAGACGGAAACCAACCGTCAACACAAACCTCAATGAGGAAACTCTTGCCAACAGCCAGTAAGATACTGAGATAGGAGGAACCCCCCAATCCGATTTATATGAGTAGAAGCCCGATGTGGCAAGGTGACATGCGTAATCATCAACAGCCCAGAATACGGGACCTAACGGTCTGCTGGGCGAATATGGGCAGAATACCAGAGACCTATGATACCTTATTACAAATGGTATTTGAAAACAAATCAGATGTCCTATGTATACAGGAACCCTCTACATTCCCATTCACAAAAACCAAAATATACCCCAGATGGACCCTATATACGCCAATAAACTCATGGACAGGCACATCCCTCAAATAAAGAGAGACAGAGTGATCTCGAGTACTGATATATATCAGAAAAGGTGCAAAACTGCAAACTTAACAAAGATAACCAATCAAAAGCTGCGATATACTCTGGATAGACATAAATAGATATCCTATATTAAATATATACCAGACATCTCGAACAGAGTAGGTGCTAATATACATCACTAGACTACAACTATCCCTAGGGTATCTCATTGAAAACGACTTCAATACCAGACACAAAATATAGTAACTTGAAGCGGAAAACATCAATAGAGAACGTGAACTAACAGCCTAGGTGGAACTAACTGAATTGGATTACATTGGAGAATAAAGAGCATCTACCCACTCAGGCGGAAATGTACTCGATCTTACCTTTTCCAACATACTATTTGCAAAAACCAAAATACAATATGATTTACACAGTAATTCGGATTATTCTACCCTGGTAACAACCATCCCAGGCAGAAGATTCAAACCCCTCAACCAGCATAATATCCATATTCTAGAAATGGAATTACCGAAATTGGCAGAACTAGTAGTTAACGGAGTGGTACACATACCTCCAAGTAACTCCCTAGACTTCCCACAAAGAATAGATTACTTCGCGGAACAATTGATTCAAGTAATCACGAAAGCAATCGAAGCAGTGGGGACCAAGGACAGAGGAAAAGGTAAAGCAGTACCCTGGTGGATACCAAAGTGTAAAAGGGTCTACACTGAACACTTGTACAGATAAGTTATATCAGGACAACCCCCTACCATAGCAACAAAAGAATTCAAAATGGCAATTAGAACAGCCAAACACAATTATTGGAGGTATATTATAGATAATATCTCCAACGACAAAGATTTATACAAGATAATAGACTGGCACAAACTAGCCCCGAACCTCAAGAGCCCCCCAATCATCTCCAACGGAGTGGTAATAGAGGATTCGATGGAAAAAGCCGAAATATTCAGGACAAAGGTCTTGGACTGGTTCAACACGAAAGACAATCTGGAGCACAATCTACTGGGAGATTAATAGAAAGGAAGCGGATCGCTACCCTGGAACTCTTACATCACAATGGAAAAAATCGAAGCAAGTGTCATCGGGGTATCCAGTATATCACCAGGAATTGACCGAGTCATGGTTAGACTTCTTAAAGTCTGCTGGGAATATCTCAAAGATTCACTAAGACAACTCTTCCAAAAGTGCCTTGAATATAGCTATTTCCTGAAAATCTGGAAGTTAGTTGAAATAGCTATACTACCTAAAACTGGCAAAAGAGATATGATATCCGTAAGGTCATGAAGATCCATAACCCTACTCTCCTGTGTAGGAAAAGGTCTGGAAAGAATAATTGCTAAACGCATAGGCTGGACGGCCCTAAAATACAGTATTATCAATCCTTAACCCAGTGGGACCCTACCCAAACGTTCCGCAATGGACCTAGTGGCATCCTTCACACACAATGTGGAAATAGCACTGTCAGCAGGAAAAAAAGTAATCATGGTCACCATGGATGTACAAAGGGCATTCGACACATTGCTCAAAAGATGACTCCTAGTCAGGATAACAGAACAAGGCTAGCCTAAAAACCTTTTTCTTCTAGTCAACTCCTTTCTAACAAAAAGGAAAGTCAGAGTTAGGCTCGAATAAGCCATAATCAAGGAGCATTTAGTAGCCTGCGGAACCCTGCAAGGCTCCCCCTTCTCCCTAGTCTTTTATATACTGTACCTGGCGGAACTACTGTCAGGAAACACTACCCTCAGATTTGGGTATGTGGACAACATATGCCTATACAGAGCATCCAAAACACTGGAAGAAAACACCAGACTCCTCGCTAGAGACGTCCAAGACGTTATAAAATAGGGAATAAATAATCGCGTTGCCTTTGCCTTAGAAAAACTAGAAATGATATATATCTTTGCAAGAAATGGCAATGCAGTATTGATTATCAGAATAAATGAGAAACTCACGATTCACCCGATAGTAGCTACAGAAACAAACACCTGTTCAGCACTGAGATGGCTGGGAGTGTGGTTCGATCGAAAAATGAACTTCCGAAGATATGTCATAGAACGCACAAATAAAGCCAGGACAGTAGCAAAACATATACAAGGTCTAACTAAAGTTGTACAAGACCCCCCAGCATACTCGATGTGCAAGGTAGTGATAATATATGTATTACCTTCACTCCTATATGGAACAAAGGCCTGGTACAGAGGAAGATTCAAGACTATACAAAAATCCAGGTCCGGGCAAATACAAATGCAAGCTAATGCCTGCCTAGACTGGCATATAATACAAATCGAGAAAGTCCTTACAATAGCAACACGAGGAGTCATATCAGCCTGGAAAACTATGTCAGTAATAGCCCTCTACCGCGAAGCGGGATTCCTCTCAACTATAACAGTCTTTGAGGAGGCCAAACTAAGGTTTGCCCTACACTTACAAAGCGTAGACGAGACCCACCTACTCACAAAAAGAATCGAACCTTTTATGATTGTTAAAGGACAAGGATCGGGCACAAGACAAAGAGCAAAAACCAAGATCCAAAGACTTGGTCTCCTTGTCCCATTAATCCCGAGGTCTATACTCAAGCTACCAAGGTACACACCTGGCTACAGAACAGATCTTACAGAAAAGATTGATAAAAAAAACGGTAGCAAAAGCCTTCGAAACCTGATAGGAAAATCTACTAGCCATGGATATCACTATCTTCTCAGATAGATTGGAAAACCATGTGCAAGGAAAGCATATAGTAAACTATGGATATGTTATATACCTAGGCAAGAACCAGATATTGGCAGGTTCAGGCTTTATCAACACCCAATCCCACATTTTCGATACAGAAGCAATTAGGGCATGGACAGGTCTTGAATGTACCCTCAAAGACGCCAGATATATAAACCAGAAAATCTGGATATGCATCGACAGTGCCTCAGTCATCTGGTGCATGCAAGCCAATGCCTCTAAATCATCACAATGGGTTTTCAACAATTGCCATAAGGCTATGGAGGAACACGACATTTAGATCAAATGGTCACCGGGACATGAAAACATTAAGAGAAACGAGATGACGGATTATTTTGTAGACCTTGGAGTTAAGAAAACCTGATAGAATATTGGACCAGCTTTGTAACCCATCTACAATAAGGTTCGATCGATAGTATACAACTTCAGAGAAGATACCCATCAACAATAGTGGAATTCCTGTGAACCTGCTCTTTCGTTGTAATACAAACAGTAGGATTTGACATACAAAGTCAAATTATTGCCCAAACTTCTACTTCCGTGAGTAGTTCTATAAAGGCTAATAACCATCAGAACCTCCTATAGAGACTTTGGATAGTATCATAGGAAATTCAAATATGTAGAAGACACAGAATACTCCTACAGAAGGTCTAAAACCTTAGCACACCTGATTCACTGCTAGAAGGTAAAAAGCACTTTCGAACAATAGCTGAACAAGCCCTCTACACTATCAGCAACAAACGCGAAAGGTATCCATTACCTATGCAAAGTCCTAAACAACCCCAAGGAATTTGCTAAGCTTCTAAAGCTGACAAAATTCTACGAAAACATATGCCCAAGGTAGAGGGTTACAAACCCATATTCTACGAACAAATAACCTAAACACTGCAACAATACACACCCACTACCAAAACCGACTTGCAATATACAATACAAACGAAGTTACCAACTCCCTTTGTAAAGTGTATGCAGAGAAACAAAACTATCAATAGGTATAAAAAACCTGATTAAATATCAATAAGATATGCGAAAGCATATTTGAGAACACTCCCCGGAGTATAATAAATATTCTAATCGCTACACTAGAAATAATCCATTAAATCATTGGAGCTTACACAACAACAAACCCACAAAACAGGTACAACCGCCTATACTAGGCAAAACAGCAGGATTACTTCAACCAGCGGAGGAGAGAATACACAAATTGGAAGGTAACACACAATTACCGGGAATGGCTATAAGACTTTCACTTTTCTTTCTAAAGCACTCTCATTTCATATATCGTAAAACCATAGCTTAGAATATCTGCATACCCCTAGGGAGGTTCTGAGGGCAGCCCTAAGCTGCTCTCCTGATGTAAAATAATACTACTACTACTACTACTTATTTGCAATGCAGTCAGTCCTTTCAAATACTCGAGTAGGGAAATTGCGATCCGACTAATGGCTGTAATTTGTTCTAGCTTCACGTCTCTCACTATCGCTACATAAAGTCTTTAAAACATACCGGTACACACAATATTTAGATTAATTTCGAGATATCAACTATTGATTGTTTGACCCAAGCCTAGAAATCAGGACAAACTATCCAGTCTCAATATTCCGATGGTCTAAAGTCATCTAACTAAGCCTTACACTCATACATTTAATCGCGATATGAACAAGGTCAATGTGAACACAATTGAGATAGATAGCACTTGTATCCCTATATACCCACAATCAGTCCTTACGAGTACATCTTTCCGGCATACATATCAAATCCATACCCACATCCCAACCCAATTTCTTCCCACTTCTCACTTCCCACCTCAAAATCCCAAATCCCAAATTCAAAATCCTCAATCTTGCACCTCTGCTCTCTTTATCCATTGTTAATTTTAATCTTAAGTACAATCCAACTATCTCACCAACCATCTAAACGTGCTCTAATAACATCGTATCACATCTTATATTTCCCCCCGTTTGTCTTCTCCTCTTACCACCCCTCCGCCCACCTCTCCAATTCTCCTCTCCTCTCCTCTCCTCTCCTCTCCTCTCCTCTCCTCTCCTCTCCTCTCCTCTCCTCCTCTCCCCTACAAAACAAAAATATATATACCAATAGACCAATAGAAAGGAAGAGATATATATCCAAATCAAGTAATCAAGTAGCCAAATAACCAGTGAACCCACCAGATACGAAGATACGAAGATACGAAGGTATGAAGTTCACATAAGGACTCGAGATTCTTCTCGAATCTTTCATTCTGAATTAAATGCACTGTACTATACCTATAGCCAGACCGTATTGAACTCCGCTTCATACTCCCGCTATATAGCTGTAAACAAAAGGCAAAAGGCGAAACGTGAAGGCGAAAGGAAACAAGTTCAAATACGTAGAGCATACTGTACTCGAGTGTTGAACATTATTATATTGTATTGTATTGTATTGTATTGAGGCATTAATCATTTGACATTTCCCATCTGCATCACCATCAGCATATATAATATCCCTGACCTCCTCATTCCTCCTCCTCACCCCCCACTCACTCCACTCACTCCACTCCTCCTGCCCCCCCATCCCCACTTCCACCCCCTGCCCCATCATAAAACCTCAACCACATATCCTGCGGCATATACTCCAACCACGGCATCATATCCTCGCTCATCCCTCTCATATCAATATCCTGACTTTCCATCATCATATCGCTCACACCCATATGTGTTCCTAGACCCATGCCCATGTATCCATTTACATTCACATTGTTTGCGTATCCACTTTGACTATTAATGTGATTATTATTTCCGTGTAGGGCATTACCGTTATTGTTATCATGATTGTTATAAATATGTCCTTGGGCTTGTCCTGGTGTTGAGTGATGATGGAAATCATATCCACCGCTACCTCCGGGAGTACTGCCCGAACCCGGTCTCGGAGAAAGATTACTCGGTGGATGTTGATTGAAAGACGGAAGAGAGCTACCCCTCGGAGTAGCATACGGGGAATTACTACCACCCAATCCGAGTAACATTTCCGCATCAGCGGTTGCCGCCGCATCAGAGTTTGTTACCCCCAAAAACTTCGGTACAGGAGGCATCTGATCAAAATGAGACGGATAACGATCGAACCTTCCACTAGTTGCAGTTCCTCCCGCCATATTCTCAGGTAGACTTTGTCTAATCGGATCATAAATCATATTTCCCTGACCATATTCCCTCGGTTGTGGTTTCACCTCCAGATGTTCCGCCGCGCTTTGATTTTGATACATGAAAGTCAAATTTGAGCTCGGGGAATTCGTCGTTCCAGTAAGTGACCAACCAATAGCTTGTGCCGGATCGATGGCTGGAGATCCAGGTAGTGCTTCCATCATTGGCGAACGAACGAAATCCGGAAATCGGCTCGGGGAGTTTGCGGAGAACTTTCTTCTCCAATTGGGTATGATTTCATGCCTTGGTTTAGTAGCTTCGGTGTATTCTTCCGCCGTGTAGGTCTCGACTTCTTGTGGATCTATTCCACTCTGCTTCTGTTCCAAAGCCACTCGAATATATCGTGTACCAGCCCAAAATGATTCTAAATGTCGTAACGCTTTATGACATTGTTGATAATTTTGATTCGCAGCTGCAGCAAGTAATGAATGTTTTTGTTTTTGATATCCGGGATTAGTTTGATTGCCGCTTGGTTTCAATGTATCTGGTGGACCGCTCGGGCTTTGTCGAGGACTAACATCTCTAGAACTTGGCTGGGAAGTATGCAACGCAATCTCTTTTAGGAAAGCACAACCAGCGATATATATCGGCTGACAAGTAAATGGATTTCCAACAAAGGATCTCGGGTCGATGAGATCAGCAAAAGCAAGAATATCGGCAATGGTTTTAGCAGATGACATGCTAAGTTCGCGGCTATGTGGGAGTAATTGTAACACTTCTCCTTCGAATGAATGCATTAGGGTTGGCTGATGAAGTAGCATGATTAAAGTATGGAACCAAAAATGAACCTTGATTAATTAGCATAACTTGTCCGGATATCTCACACCACCAAAAACTTCAACTTTCCATACATATCACGACCATCTCTCAACTATTTTGAGTTATTTTGGATTCACTCACAAGAATAAAATTAGTTCCCTCCCCACTCTTAACATAATGCTGAAAATTACTAGCCGTAAAGCCCAACCTCGCATCCAAACTCTGATAAAGTATCGTCAAATCCTTTTCCATTCCCGATAGTTGTTGTATTAATCCCTGTGTAACATCATCCGCACCTCTAATGCGGTTTAGTAAATCAGAAACTCGTCCATACAAATGTATAATTCTAATGAGTGCTGGGAATGGATCTGGCCATGCCTCTTCGGTATTGTTGGAGACGGAAGGAAGTGTTATTTCGACATTGAGACTCACTGGTCTACCGGTTCCGGAAGAAATGACGCGGTCGAGCATCAGGACTGCCCAAAGGGTATCTATTCGTTCTTCCTCAATCTCATTTTTTTCTTCCGCAGTAACAGTATTCGCTGGTTCGCTGGATTCCCCTTCATTTGTGAATGATCTATGATATCCTGGATCCTTCTGCCCTTGATGTTTAACGCCAGCTAATGTCTGCAGACCGAGGTCAACAGCCATCCTGATTGAAATCCCAAGGTACATCCATAATGCACTATCTTGATTCGCCCCAAAACTTTCATAAGCAAGTAACAGACAAGCCTGTACTGCTCCAACTGACGGACAAGGAAAAGTATCTACTACAGCGGCCTTAGCTCGCTGAGCAAAGACTTGTCCGTATTCTGATTTTGGATGTGGGGATTCGTGGGAAGTGGTAAGGAGAGGATGATCGGAAAATCGAGCTGCTAAAGCACACACGGCATCAACAAGAATTGGCTCGATTTTCTTCTCCTCCACCAAATGTTTGAAGTTTTCTTGTCTTTTCGACAGAAATGGGTAATTGCAACCCAAATGAGCAAAGAAGACTTCCACGAGATGGATTATCAGTCTATTGACAGGTAATGAGTCACTAGGATCGTAGAGTGGCATGTCGATTGCAGACCTTGAATCAGTACCAGCTTGAGATGGAGTTCCTCCATGTATTGAACCACCGCTCGAATGTTTTGCAGAGACAGGCGACATTGTCAAAGAGGAAGAAGAAGGTACACCTATACTTCTCTTAGGTTCCCGAACAGAAACAACCATTTGTTTAAATCCAGGTACAATCGCCGTGGGACCAAAATATCTAAAGTATGGCACTCGATGACTCTCGTTGACATTGGTTTCACTGAGCAGTGGTAGTCCCTTTTCTAGAAGACTGGGACCATTGTCTGAGAATACCGCTGCGTCATTATAATCAACCGTTCGATTCCCAGGCCGATTATTCTCCGTATCCTCATTTCCTACCCTCGGCGTATCTCTCATATAAGGTTGCTCTGCGTCAACTCTTGACCTTGACGGTGGCATATTCGGCGATTGTTGATATTGTTGTGGTACCATATCTCTCGAATTCTCTCTCGAAGCTGCAGGTCTCCTCAAATGTGTAGGTGTAAAATCATCATCCGGACTCCGTACATCCTTTATTGAGCTCGCAGCCCCTTCCATCAATTTCGTATACCCCATACATTCATGCCCGTTATCCGTACACGTTGAACAAAGCGGTCGTATCCCATCACATCTCGTCTTCCGTTTCCTACAGGTACGACATCTATTTGAGAGTTAGCTGAAATCCTCATTGTACATTTTCTTAAAAGTTATAAATACGCAGCATTCACTCTCCGCCTCTTGGCACGCTGACCATCATTATTCACAAAGCGTATCAGTTTCGGCGGTAATACCCCCACTCCACCGCCTGCGCTCATGTCTCCTCTTAACCTCTCTTATTCCCTTGATTTTGATCTTGTCTTCTTGCCTGCCAGCCCACCCACTCAACACCGTTCAGTATCTCTACTACTTCACGTCGCACAAATCTCAAGCGCAGTCAAATCCAAATCCAAATCCAAATTCACATCAACCGTTGTTTTTTCTGGCTTGCGTCTATTGTTTTCGTCTGGTTCAATCTCAGCTGGTCCCTTCTAAACTCGTCTCTTCAACGCCTTTTCCCTTTCCGTCAATCCTTCCTGTACCGTCTTATAGTTTATGGTCTCGTCTTCCTGCTCTTGTATCATTCGCCCAATCCAAACCTTTACTTGAGTATCTCTTTCCTGTTCTACCTTTCTCTGACCTTAATCTCTCTATTAATGCGCCCCAACAGATCTTTCGTCAACACAGCCACCAAATGAAGTTTTTTTTACTGGCAAATTAGGAAACTTAAACAAAAAATAATTTCAAGCATCCTAAGGCAACGCCGACCGTTGAACACCAAATGCAAGATGAAGCAAAATCCCGTCTTTTCGATAATTTCTGTACAAGTGGTACCGTACAGCTGTGGAGACACAAACGCTAAAATCTAGACCGGACTATCAGAAAGTCACGTGAATCTCGATGGGTCAATGCACGCGCTAGAGTATTGATCTGGGGTTTTTAAGCGCTTTCAATAGTTTGCATAAGGTTTTATATCAATTTTAGATCAATTTTATACAAATATATTATATAATATTAAAAAATATAATGCAATTAATGCTAATCGAAAGCCTTTTAAACTAATTCAACTAATAATATTCATTTATTTATATCGGATTCACAAGTCTAGTCTAGCTGTAATATAGTAGAGTACTATAAATGTATAAATGTACGAGTTATACTAACCTCTAGAATATAATGAAATAATGATTCGGTTAATCGTTTGGATCAAGTAAATGAAGTAGAATGTGAATATATGAACTAGCATTATTTATACATGGAGTTTGGGGGTGAAAGAATTTTAGATACGAGCTTTGACTTCGGCCCCTCGGTGCCGGAAAAACAATTCGCCTCGCTGCGCTCTTCGAATCGTTTTTCAGGGCACCTCGATTCCTACGTCGCAGCTCGTCCTCCGGAGGCTTGTTAACTTGATAATCATAAATATTGAATGATATTTTTGAATATCATCTTTTCAGATTTCATTTTATCGATTAATATGAGAAGTGTATTAATATTGAAGATTGAATGTGGTATTGCACGTGGATTTTCAAAAAAATGTTCGTTGTCGTGCACTGACCATGTGCGTTTTTTCAGTGTTTTATAATATGAAAGGTTAGATAATACTGGACTTACGAGTAAAGGGGTCTTTATGTACAAGACCCAAGACCCAAGACCCAAGTACCAAGATCCGGTTCAAAATTGAAAATCGAGAGGTGGATGTGGAGATGGTTTTCGTAAGGGATGTGGTATTATGAACGAAATTTGGGGCGGGGTAGGGGAGATAGTGTGGATGCTGAAAATCGAATATAAACGGAAGGAAAAGTATCAGGGAAGAAGAGAATGGCGGGAAATATTTCATGTCCACTGAGTAGAGCATATATATTTCTTTGCAATAAATCTAACGCAAAGGGCTGTCGTTCATCGAAAAGTTCCAATTATCCTCCCATTTTCCTCCCATTTTCCTCCCATTTTCATATCCATTGCCATCCACCAACTTAACAGATGGCGTGAGTCTTTCCAGTCTTTCCCTGCAAACTATGCTTCTCTTTTTTATAAGAAGGATGATTATGCTGGTTCTTTCGAACATGAGTAGAATGCATCTTAACATATTCCTGATTCTTCTTGATGGTTTCCTTATCCATGTCATCCAAAACACCGCAGCACAACTTGATGTCATCCAACAGATGCTCGCATCTTGACTTGCTGAAATCCTCACGGACAACTACACGTAACAACTTCAGGTTTTCCGTGTTGGGTGCCATGGTGTATGCGGGAACAACCCATGAACGTTGCCTAAGCTGAGAAGCTAGAGCAAATTCATCCCATTCTTTACCGGCCTTTGGGTCAATGCGGAAAGCAACGAGTGGGAGACCTTCTCCATTCTTTTGAGACATAATGATGAATCCGAGTTGCTCGAGGGAATCGGATAGGTAGTCGGCGGTTCTTGTCAAATTACCCATGATGGCACGGTAACCCTGCTTACCAAGACGAATGAGTTGATAGTATTGACCGATGACTTGAGAAGCACCCTTGGAGAAGTTAAGAGTAAAGGAAGCTTGATCAGCACCAAGATAGTTGATGTTGAAGACCAACTCCTTTGGCAAGTATTCTGGAGCTCTCCAAACGATCCATCCTACACCCGGATAAACTAAACCGTACCTACAAGACATGTTAGCCATTATCAAGTACTAGAAGATTCGGGGAGGACGTACTTGTGACCACTGGTGTTGATAGAAACAACCTTCTCTAATCTGAAATCCCACTCCAGCTCTGGAACAACGAATGGTGCTACAAATCCACCGCTGGCCGCATCAATGTGAATAACAGTATCAATGTTCTTCTGGATCAAAAGATCATTAATAGCCTTGGCATCCTCGTACTCTCCGGTATATGTTGTACCCAAAATGACACAAATACCAATAGTATTTTCATCCACCAAATTGACAGCCTCCTCGGGATCAATAACGTATCTCTCTGTTGTGCAAAAAACGTATTTCTCTTCAATTTCGAAATATCTTGCTGCCTTCTCCCAGCAGACCTGAACAGCGGAAGACATGACAATGTTTGGGTTATCGGTTGACTTTCCAGCAGCAATACGAGCATTCTTCCAACGCTTCTTCATAGCCAAGACTGCCAACATGATAGCCTCGGAAGAACCGACCGTAGAGGTACCAATAGCATTATCATCTTCTTCAGTTATAGGAGCATTGAAGAGCCGACCGATCATAGAAACACATCGATTCTGGATATCTGCGGATTGTGGGTATTCTTCGTAATCGATGAAGTTCTTTGAGAGGGATTCGCTCATCAGATCTTCGACTTCTTTTTCCTACTTATTATTAGCATAGAACGATTCGATATCAAGTATACAGTTGACCAACCATATAGGTGGTTACAAAGCTAGCTAAGCTAAAAGAAGTCAGCTATGTAACATAATCACTGGCAGAAAAATATACTTGAGCACTGGGTTTCCGTCAAGGGAGAGATCATCTTTGATCATACGATATGCAACCTCCTTTGGCATTTCATTCTCTGGCATGGAATGACGTGGAAGATCCTCAGCAGCGAACTTGGAACCATAAACACTGGTTGTGAATTTATCTTGATCGCTTGAAGCAGCCATTGTAAGCTTCTTCAAGCCATCGACGAGAGGAGCAGCGACGTTTCCAACGTTAGGGATTTGAGATAGATGAACCATGATTGCAGTTGTATTGTTGATGATTTAAGTTGAGTTTTAGGAGGGTTGGTTTTATGAGGAAGAAGAAGAGGAAGAAGAAGAGAAAGAAAGAGTTGAGAAGAGCAGATAGTGTTAGTGAATTGTGTTAGTATGACGACTCAATATATGGTGGGAGATTCAGCGAGGTACACAGCAACTGAATGAAGCGGTTTTTCTGCAATATTAATGCCGATCATCTTGTAACAACCCTATGAATGAAACTCTATATAAGTTTGAGTAAGTGCGCCCTATCTTGATTTATGTATGTTATAGTACTTCAGCAATATACTGGCATGATGATAAAACAGACAAGGTGGGAGTTGACGTTTGGTATCGTCATAGAAGAGAGGGGGTGTGTTGACAAGCATAAAGACGATTGAAATTACTAGGTATGTCCCCGCTACCAAGCCACATGTTCGTCGCAAGCGGTGAAGACATATCGAAAGACGCGGCGTTTCATATATATCGTATAACATTTGCTTCAAACACATATAGCAACATTATGAACCTTAAGTACAGGAAAATGTAGATGGAGTCCGGTAGTACCGCGGCACACTCTTTAATCATAATCAAAGAGATGATCGGGCTGTGTTATAGTGGGTGTTACAGTGGTGATAGTCGCGCCGATTGAAGAGACATTGTTCAAAACATCTACTCAAGTACTTCTGATACTGTACTCAGATAAATCAATGCACGGTTCAAGTGATCGATATACTTACCGAGGCCTGCAAACTATCATTTCGCCAAAATTCCAAAAATAGGTTTTCTATCTACTCGTAGGCTGAAACTATATATAGATTTTTATTATATACTTATAGTAATCTACCGTCTAAACTCTCTAAATTTTTGCTTAGTCCTATTATAGAATAAGATTTCGATTAGTAAATCTTAATTATATATTAGTATAAGATTTTATTAATTAATATAAAAGTAGATTATATATTAATATAAGTATTTAATAGCTTATTTGGAAGTGGAATCGATATTATAGAAACTCGAAAATTTCCACATTCTTTCTTCACTTCATTAACATCTGCCGAGTCATCGTATTGTTCATCCCATATATAATATTTGGCCTTCGAACTCCGAATTCTTGGTGCAGTTGCGTTACGGTGGATAGGACACGCGGTAACGACATGAGACTGTAATCATGTTGTATTACCCGTTCTATCGAAGATTGCCGGCGGGTGCTTTGGTGGTTCATCGCCATCAATGTCCATAACGGCGGTAGAATCATCGGCTCCGAGGCGGTCTTTCATTAAGAAAGTGTCGACCGTCCCAGAAGCAAGTCTTGCCTCCATATCGTCAGCTATGGCAGAAAGTATTAGCATGAAAATTCGATATCTTAGAAAGATTTTAACTCTCACCTTTTTGATTGGCCGCCATTTGGGAAATGTGCGGGCTGATCAAATGTCGTACTGGAATCTCTTAACACGCTACAAGAACTGACGAGTTTGTCTTTCTGAATACTGTGTGAAGATAGAAATAAGTATCAGGCCAAAACAATCCCAAAGTGTTGAGAAAAATTTGACGTTGTGACAAGTCGTAGTAATAAGTGGTTGTAGTATGAACGAACTTGAGAGTAGTAGGAAGTGATTGTAAAGGTCTGGAAATTAAACGATCGAGGGCAGTATAATAAAATTGGCGGTACTCTCAAATTAAAATCGCGCTAAGCCACAAATGGGCATATATTGATTCGATATAGTGAATATAAATTGTAGGGGAATCATTGCTAGTGCAGCTTGGATGTCTATGGTAAGAGATCTTTTGGAATGAGGTATGTTGGAGTGGTAAACTCTGCCCCAACAGCCCCAACGACCCCAACAACCTCAACTCAAATCATCCCCCCGTAATCCTCACCATACTTTCCAGTACACTTTCTCGCACGAATCATATCCACTCTATTCCCATATACTCGGTATTACGATCGGTACAAACATGCATATGAAATCCAAAATAATAGACTCAATCTGAAACAATATTTCAATTCCGCTACTCTATTGAACTCACCAGAATCGTTTGAGCCTTTACTTCTCTCCGATACCCATTCTGAATAGCATTATTCCGTATATATATTCTCTATATATTATCCGTATGATAGTAGTCAGTCTCTATATCAATAGCACTACTCTAGTTTCTAATATATATACTCTATATGATATCCGTATGGATATAGATATAGATTATAGCATGATGATAATACTTACTAGTAAAGGGGCTGTATCTCGCTTCTTGTAATAGTTTGAAAGAACATTTACTATACTTTCTAATATACATATTCTATATATTATCTGTATGGGTATAGATATAGAACATAGCATGATGATGAATACTTACTAGTCAAAGGGCTGTATCTTGTTTTATACAATAGTTTGGTTGATTTATAATAATTATAGTATTGAGCAATACTAATAGCTTGAAATGATATTTGCTAGAGTATAGCATATGTCTTGTCAAATATGTTTACAACTTCAATTTATATCTCAAAGTATAAGTATACATTTTCATTATATCATATCATCATGAATGTCGACGGTAACAATCATACAAGTTTATGATGTTGGCTATTGTTGTATTTTAGCAGACGTCTTCACCAAAGCATCAAGCGTCGCTGCCATTTTGACCCACACCTCACTCTTTCCATTTCATACCTCTCTCACTCACTCTTTGGTTCCTTCCTCAAAAGCATCACAAATTGAACTCGCTTAATCAATTGAATCAATTGAAGTTTTCTCTCAAATATTTTTCATCTTCATCATCTTCAACATCAGTTTCTTATATCTGTTCATCAACGATCATAATTCTCTTATCTCCTCATTTCCATAATCTATATTCTCATAATCTATATTCTCATCTAATCTCAAACATGAACCCAAACGATATGTACAACTTTAACGACTCAGAAGATGAGTACCAGCAAATGAACAACACGGGACGATACAGAAATCCCCCACCCCACCAGCAATATGCGAATCCACAAGTTTTAAACATGCATACGACAGATTGAACAGTTGCCAGACAACTTCCAGCAGCGCAGATAACTTTCTTAACCAATCTATGAACAATTCACAGAATACGAATACGAGATGGGGAAGGAGAGGTGGTGCAAACTCCACCCAGTATGTACAGAATGTGGCATTTCAAGTACCAGTTATACCCTCTGCACGAGAGTATCATCAACAATTCCAAATGCAGCGTCCAAACCAGGACGAATACTTCCAAGACCCGAGAGAGACACGATTTTACGGTGCAAGGGGTCAAGGTAACTTGGCGCAAGAACAGTATCAGCACCAGCCAGTATTTTTTCAGCAAGGTCATGCGGACTAATTTGACTTTCGCTCATCAGCAGCGCCTATGCGCTAAGATCGTAGTCCACCAGGGTCTAGCAGAGATATAGTCGATCAAGAATCACAACCTGTGGAACGGGAGGTGAGACGGGAGGCAAGAGGTCACTCAGACAGACAACACGATGGCCCACCGCATGCTATGCAAGACTTGAATACGTCTCCTTCTGAATCGGTAAGTCTCTCAAGCATGGTATTGTTCACACTCATCAACTAATCAAAACAATCTTAGCGCAATGATGTCCAGTCTTCCGATCGATCTGAGATAATGACTTACCCAGACCTATTCTATTTCGCAGTGTGCTCATCAGCACAATTATATCAACTCAGACATTACATTCTGAAATTCCCATGTGTACCTTCAAATGGTGATGATGAATGGAGTTTTGACTTTCACATCAACAACAGGGACATGTCCCTATCTCTTCACCCTGGTATATGGGTTCTCATGGCGTTTGGATTATTGGAGTCGGGTGCATGGATGCACGCGATTTCATCCAATTCCGACCTGGAATTGTCATCAACCTGTGGAACAAGTTTATTTCTACATGCGGAACATATTCTGTACGAGAAACCCAGTATTATCAAGCATCGAAGACTTGGGTGTCAAAGAGAATCGACTGAAAATCAAATAGATCAACTGCCCTCAAATCATCACTCTGACGCATGCCGAAAGAACACTCACTCTCTCCCATGTCAGTTGCACTTATGTGTCATGACTGAAGTGCTCAAAGATCAACTCTACCAAGCCTACCTCCGAGAATTCAGGAAGGATAAATGTGCTATATGCGATCGGAGATGTAAAGCCGATGAACATACAGAGCACTTTTGACTCGGATAATATTCATAATCTTTATTAATAACCAGGGAAGAGGAAATGGAAAATAAATTAGTCAGAGTATCAGATTTTAGTAAATAATATAATTAATTTCTTTTATAATATCAATTTGTAGTATAAGCTATTATCATGTAAGTATAAACTATCTTTTCAACTTTGTTACTATTAGGAAACTTATTCATGGGGACTCGTGTCATCATTAGGTCACCAGGATCCTAGATCCATTTGAGCTCCATATTATTGGAGAGCTATTGGAAAAGTTATGTAGTTGAATGAGCTGCTTTTTGTTACTATTAGAATAGTTGGGTCTAGAGAACGAAGTGCAGGTGCCAATAAGCATCGTGCTAGGATTGTAGAAGGAAGTCATTTGTGAGCAGAACACATGATGATCTGAAAAGCCTGTACTTATGTTTCTAATCTTAGCAAAAAGATGAGCTCAAGACACTCAAGACATCTGTAAAACTTAAAAACAACCTGGGAACATAGTGCATCAGTTATTGTCAAGGCATTAGAGCTGTCACTGGGGCCGACAAACCTTTGGTGAAGGAGTGAGCAACTCATGCTGGCATAGCAAACAATTGGCAATTGCACAAATAATGCTAACTTTGACTAAAATGACTGAAATGACTTTTAGTTGGGAGAATGAAAGTATATTTAAGAGTAGAGATTTCTGCCGTAGGGATATCTTTAACTTATTACTCATCGAACCTATCGGTAATTAACTGTAGCTACTTTCTCTTTGTTATCACATCATATCATTACATCCATCTTTACACTTTTCTCTTCTACAGACTTTATTATCTGCAAGATGTCATCAAACGATCTTGAAGGATTAATAACTGTATATCGTCAACGTCTCAAAGAGGCCGAACAACGTCTCCGACAGCAAACTGAAGAAAATGAACGAGAACGACAAAAGCATGCTGAAGACATCGAAGGAGAACGAAAGCGTCGTATGAATGCTGAACAGATCACTCAAAAAACGACTCTTATGGAATACCTTAGACTCTGCCATGAACATCTCTTCGAACCCATATCTATTGAAACCAACAAAACCTTTCTACCAAAGGAACTACTATGAGCCCACATGGCAAAATTCGTCCAAACCATCTCCGTCCATGGCTAGACTTTCTCGAGATTCAAAAAAATACTCAGGGTACACTTCAGTCAATATACAAAGAATGCGATCAGGAAAGGGTTTTTGAACATTGTGCCTTTATAGAAAGTCTTGGACAACGACATGTATCAAGGAAACTAGCCAGTGAAATGGATCTTGTTACCCTTCAAAGAGAAGCTATAGAAGCACCTATTACTTCTATCATCAATCATTTAAAGATCTTCAAATCATTGTGAGATGAATTTAAACTTGGTGGTGGAATTTATTTCGACAATAACCCGAACACATTGAGCAACGAAAGCCCAGAGGTGTCCCAGAGCCTTGTTAATTTACCTCCATCTACACCAGACCAGAGGAAACCTATTTTGAGTCGTCTCAAGGCCGATCAGATATGTGTTGTTTATTCAAAAATACAATCTGATAGCCACCCAACTCGAAAACTTGTCCTTGTCCAAGAATACAAACCTCCTCATAAATTAACTCGGACTTGTCTTCACCTTGGTCTTCAATCGATGGATCTCGAAGCTGTTATTAATCGAACCACAATACCCCCTGCCGAAATTCACAGTATCGCAAATCCCGAACACTTTCAATACCATGCGGATCTATTGGTGGCTTCTGTGATTACGCAAACTTTCTCATATATGATTGAAGGGAGAACGCAATATGGTTATATTAGCACAGGGCAAGCTTTTGTTTTTCTCTATGTCCCATTCAACGATCCGGAACTGTTTATTATCATCTGGTCGAGCCTACAAATGATGTAATGGCACAAAAAAGAGAGAATCAAGACTTTGCACATCGTACTGCGATTAGTCAGGTCTTGAATTTCTGTTTGCTAGCATTGCAGTCGAAGTCAGGAAGTCAAAGTTGGGTACAGGAGGCTTTAAATTCACTTAATACTTGGGTTGTCGACATTGAGGCTGTCATTAATGAAATTCCCCGTAGCGTACGGTTGTCCCTACCACACTCGGAGTATCATGCAAGCTCATATGAGATACCCGAGTTCACCATGAAGCTTCGATCAAGAGGCAAATGCGGTCCAGATATGATTTCTTCTAATGACAGAGATAAGGACTCATCTAGTTCATCCGATCAAGAATCCCGTCCAAATACACCTACTCCTACTCAACCCAGGAACCATCCAAATACATCTACACGACTCAGCAACCGCAATATTCAAAGGCAAGAATCATATCCCACAAACACGAATACTTCTCAACAAGGAACTCAAAGATTATCCTTCTGTAATCAATCGTGCTTACTTGGACTTGTGAATAAGACCAAACTGGATATATTCTGTCCCAATGTATCAAAACATCGTGGAGGAAAGCTTCAAAGCACACATCATCAAATTGATCATCAAACCTTTCTCGATCTTCTTCAACAACAACTTGAATTGAATCTAGATCATGGTTGTTATCCCTTGGGGATGGAGGGTAGCCGTGGGGCTTTGTTTCAGATCACATTAATACCCTATGGTTATACTGTAGTGGCAAAAGGAACAGTAGCAGCCTTTGTGAAGGATCTTCAATATGAGTACCAGGTATATCAATACCTATCAGATATACAAGGGACTTTTATACCTGTTTGTCTAGGAAGTTTCAATCTTGTTTATCCATATTATTATGATATTGGAGTACAAATAGTGCATATGATGTTTCTTGCTTGGGGTGGAAGATGTTTGGAGAAGATTAAATTTGTGAAAAGTATAGATGGAAAAGGGTTGGATGCTATGATGTTACATTCGCTTGAGATGCTTCATGGTATGGGGGTATTACATTCAGATCTAAGATTGGCAAACATGTTGTGGAATGAAGAGAAAGAAAGGATCATGTTGATTGATTTCGAGCGATCAAAGATACTACCAGTTGACTCGCAAACTCCTCTCACACAAACCTCTCCAAACCAAAAGAGAAGACAGCATCTATCAAAGGAGAAGGCCTTGAGCAAAAGGGGCCAAAATGTTTTAATGGACGAAAGGTTTTGTGTTGAAGGAATGATTGCTAGGCAAATGGATTAGTAATTGTTATAGTCCTTATGATATGTAGAAGGATTATGCGGCTCTGTTCATATGGCCTCAGCGGCCTTGGCATAGGACCCGGTTTCTCTCTCTTCTAGTTTAGCTTAATCCATTTCAGCATTTCATCATCACATGCATAAGCATCGTGACAGTAATAAAGTCAATGGTTATTCCAATAAATAAATGCAATGATACCTATACAATTGAGTGATGTCTCTTTTATCTAAGAAAGAGCTATAGATTTGAAAGAAGACCTGAGACGTTTTCGTTTACTTGGTGTCGAAATAATTGAGTTTATATCTAATCTTATACTTATCCACTTTTTGGTTAGGAAGTATCGTATAACAAGGAAGTGGGTGAAGAAGATCTTCAATATACTTCTCGACTGCACCCATCGACATTTGATCTGGCCCAATAAGCTAGGAAGGGTTATTGAATAAAATTTCAATCATTTCTGCTAGCAAGCCATATAAAAACTCTATATAAACTTCTCTAGGTCTTACTAATACTTTATCTAATAAATATAATATAATAATCTAGTTATTAGTAGGCCTAAAATATATAAGATAATATAATTAAGGATTTGGATTTTCAACTTGAGACTCGGATAAATATATCTTTTTAGAAAAAGAAAGAATTTAGATATATAATTAAATTTGAATTTGAAATTATTTTAAAATCAGAGTTTATTTCAATATCAAAATTGAATCCAATTTTTTTTTAGATTAATTCAATATTATTAAGATTTTATTTGAAAAATATATATAATTATTTCAAAATCTTTAAATTATATTCTCAAAAAAGAAAACTAAAATAAATAAAATATTTAAATATACTTTATATAAATTTATTTAACTTTTTAAACTCTATAATTCAATTTAATTAAAAAGTGATTAAAATCTAAATATTTCGAATAAAACAAAAATAATATCACTGTCACGGGATCACTACCAGTTCCTAGCTAGCTCGAATGGATGCCTTAGGCATCCATCCACCATACAGTCGTTGTCGCTCCGCGCGCCTCCTTCTCTTTTCATCGAATATTATATATCTTATTTAGTACCTACCAGAATATGTACTAGCCCTGTGATAGTATATTCAACCTTTCAAAAGACTCTGTTATCGATAATAACCCAGCTTTAATTATACTTATTTGTATATAACGATTTTAATTTGATAATTTTGATTTTGATTTCAATTTGAACTATTACAATGATCAATTCTACAAATTCATTGGCTATATTTAGTGGTATCAATTCTGGCACATGTGTCATCAATACCAATATATCTGCTCCTGAAATTACAATATATGAAACCTTGATTGTATATATTTATCAAGTATTCCAAAACCAATCCTATATCGCTGATATACTCACTTTCGGTATCCTTTTCCAAAATCTAACTTTACTGATCAATCTATTTAATATAGAAAACACCAATTTCATTGTTTGGTGCTTTCTTCGAAATCTGTTTACCACACTTGAAACCATCGTTAAAGAATGCTACGTTGAATATACAACCTAGTTGATCACCGAAGAACAATTCAACCAGGTTTGTAATAACCTTTTTATCCAACAACATCAACTTCAAGAAGCATATAACTCTGTTGTCAAGATCTTTAATCAAAATCCCTCTCCAAATCCTTTTTATATCTAACCAATAATAAAAAACCCTAAACCTTTTAAAGATAAAAAATCAAATCTACTTGCATAACAAAGGAGTACCTCTTTTGGAAGCTTGGCCTCCAACTTTATTGAGAATATAATATAGCTTGCTTCAATATCGAAAAGAAAAAACTTGTTTATATAACTATATTATTTAATAATATAATATAACAAAAAAAAACTTGAAAATATTCTTGCAATATTGGATAGCATTTCTTTTTATCTTATTGCAAACTCTTTTCTAAAAAAACTTAATGAACTTTATATTTCGATTGATTTAAAGCAAGATACTATAATAAAGTTTAAAAAACAAATTATAATAGAAAAGCAGTCCTTTATTTTATTCTTTGTTATTTTGGAGAAACTTAATTCTATAATAAAATTATTAGATATAATAATAATGATATTCTTAAAGAAAAAAGTCATTTTGGGATTGAAAAACTTATTAACACTGAATATTATACTTTATATAGAAAATAACCTTTTTGAATCAAAAAATAAGTTTCTGCTTTAAAATCAGAAATTTTTAGG